TTTACACTCACGAAAATTGCCACCAATTTAGATTGTATCTTGGAAAGAAAATAAAATTGGTCACTTTCCCTTCGTCCGCGTGACACTGTTACCAGGAAGTAAAAAATTTGAATAATTTAGCTTGACATACTATAAGGGTGTTTGGCAAGTACATAGAAAGACGTAACAGTATTTGAGAAAATAGATTCCACGAGAAAAACGAAATTTTTAACACGTCAGCATAACGTCGTCAAGTAAATTCAAATGATCACGGTGGAGCCATCGACATAGAAATTGTTTTGATAAAAGGTAATGACCTAGAGCATAAAAAAAAATTTTAAAATAGGCAAAGTGACCCGATTGTAGGTCAAGGATATATAATCAGAAATTCATGACCAATGCATACACTTTTATTTCATTATCCGAACTACTCCCTGTATATTTTTATCACCTTCTCGCATAAACTTCTACCTACGACATCGTTTCTTTTCCCTCGTTTTTTCACTCATGTTGCGAATAGAGGATCTTGAGATTTAGATTGCGAGAAAAAAAAAGTAGAAGGACAAAAATCGATAAGTGCGAGTGGATCTTTTTTGTTTGGCGCTTTCGTTTTTTTCTTATAGCTTTCGGCATTTGCAGCGACACGTGCAGCGCGTGCTCTATTTACCTGCGTAGATGATTTACGACCAGTCTGACATGTCAGAGCTAGGCAAGAGTGCGAAATTACATTAAGGAAACTTGCCTGTGAGTTTTCCATTATAATAAGTGCAAGATGAGCACCTTTATAGCTTCGCTGAAAAATCATTGTCACGTTCAGGTGATTTGTTGCGACGTCGTCAATGGGCAAATGAAATTCACTAGTGAATACGTTATAAACGTTGACAATCAGTGTGCCAAACTATTACATATCAGTCTGTAGGATATTGAAAACGGGATTACAACGTATCGATTACCATACATTGAGAACAGTAATTTATTTTAAACAACTTCTTCCCTATAAAATCAGGTGGCGTTTGTATAACGCAGAGTCAGTAAACATTGTATAGAAATAGAACGAAACGTTGGTTTTTAAAATTGACGTACTCGGTGCGATTGTACGATTGAGTTCGCCTTACACCTCTCATGAAAGACTTTATGAGGTTGTGCGGGGGATCCGAATAAACCGAGGTTCGTCGGGTGACTAGGATCCGGAGCAGGAGGGGGCGGGAGGCGAGCGCTGCATTGCGCCAAAGTTGAGAAACGGCGTGCGAACGGAAAATCGCTCTTGCTTACGTGGCCTTCGGGCAAGTAGGCGCACGTGCAGCGCAACTTTATGAGGCAAATTCGCTGCCCGTTATCGGCAACGTTTTAATCACTCTTTGCAGCCGATCGAGCCGATAAACATTGCGCGGCTTATACGATCGCGACGCTGAACGTCCGAAAGTTTTTGCGGCCGATTGGCCAATTTATCAAGGCCTCCTTTGGCCCGCGCGAACACACGCCTACACGCGAGCTCGCGCGCGCACCAGCAGCAGATGCGTAAATCAATTTCTGCCTCGCGCTGTTAAATAATATTTCGGTAAAGCTCCGGCCCGATGCGCTTTCGAGATTGCAACTAGTTTACGTCGGATGCTCGAATTGATGGATCTTTCGGCCCAAGATTTGTAGAAAAAAAATTGCCCAAGTTTAAGAAGATTTCGAGTGCTGCTACACGAGCTGCTGAATGTTTTATGGCCTGTTATTTTTCACCGAGAGAGTTGCGATTGTCTTATAAAGTGTTTTTCGAATTTCCATGGCTGATTCTCGTGTGACACGTAATTTCCAAATGTCCATCAACGTTTGGCAAGTGGAATACCGTATACCTTGTGTGTCGGTATTCCACGAGGTATATTTCGGTATTCATTGTACGGTTTATTATGCTAATCCCAATTGTTGGTTATGCTCATACGTCACTGGTAGATGAAAAGTTAGGTAAAATTTAAAGAAAAATACCAGTCGTATAAATACTGCAAAGTTTTATGCGAGTACACAGCTCGTCAAATAGATTCGCTTGCAGATAAAATAAAGAGTAGCTAAGAGAGGTGAAGAAAATATGCTGCGTAAAGAGGCATATATGTGCGCAGCAGCAACAGCAGCAGTGGCGGCGCAGTCAAGTCCCTTGTCGCCTTTGCATACTTACCTTTGAAAAAGAAATCCGGCCTGGTATTCGTATACCGTCTGTTTCTTTTTTCAAACCTTGAATATTTCACACAAACAACGATGGATTTGAACAACTTTTATGCGACTACATTTTACACACTGCAAGGTTAGTATAAATGATGCTCTGTTACGATTACATCCTCGAATAACATTTTTTATTTAAAACTTCGTATAAGAGTCGGATATTGGATTTGAACGGGTTCAATTTTCGGACAAAAATGTTGTACAAGTTTTACTTTGTAGTGATCATTTATCTAAATGTAATTTCATTCAATTAATATATCTCGAAAACAAGTTGTCGTGACAAGTATTCCTTGCAAAGAATACAATTAACAATTGCAGTTGTTATTCGATAAATTGGCAACAGTATTATTTCACCGTGGCACGTATGTCTAAGCTATCGATATTGTTTTCATAAACTGTCGAACAGAATTTTAAGCGCGCGGTAAACCTAATTATTCACTTCAATCAGCGCTTCGAACAATCGACGATTGAAGGGCGTTCAATATATATATAAGCTGCTAGTTGTCCTCTTTGTCTTTCACTTTCAACGAGATCCAATCGCGACTCAGCGACATGCACTATTATTGACGGGCAGGACGCGCGTAGGCAGGTGGATTACAATTTATAGGATGCGCAATCACCGTGCGTGCGGATTTGTCGTAGCGGCGATCGCAAATCCGTATTCTTTTTGTTCACTCACGTTGAGTCCACTTCGATGGAAAACGAGGGCAATTTTACCGAGCCCTTTTTCTTCCACTACCCATTTTCCTTTTTCTGTCTCTTAAATTTCTCTCGCTCGACGCTCTCTTACACACACACACGCGTATGAGAGATCTCTAACTCTTACCGTGATTTTTTCCCACCTGTCTCCTTTTTCGTCTTCTTGGTGAGCGAACTGCCGGGACATTCGCGTGCTCCTGCACAATATTTTCCGTCCTGTGACAACGCTCTACTATGTGCACGGCAAACGTGTTGACCAGCATTGTCGTAAATGCTATCTCCTATAGTTGTCGTATCATAACATCTCCTGGAAGGCAGTCGGCTTTCATTTACAAAAAATTTCATTTGTAAAAAATCGCACGAGAGACGTACATTTTCATTCTCGAATCCCGGCGAAGGACGGTTGGCCGAACCAGCATGTGGAGCAAGTAACACGGGTAGTCACGTGCGGGAACAATAGGCAATCGGGCGCCAAACCGATCAGCCCGTAATAAACTCGAGGCCTTCAGAGAAAACCCGGTGCTGCCTGTGTGCGCCTTAACGATCTTCAAAAAATGAACCGGACGCAAGCTTTTGAGCCGTGGAATGACCGTCCGCTTACGCGCGAGTCGTAAAAATAAAAGAAAGCGCGAGGAAAACTCTTAGCGGCGACGTTGCCTGTTTTCACTCCGCCCTTAGGTTCAATCATAAATTAGTTTTAAGTGAGCGAACAAAATGTAAGTGATCTCAAATAAGTGTAACACAAAAGTGCGCTATCGAAGCAGTAAAGTGTTAAAACTCGTTTTTATATAGCGACGAAAGGCTGCCAACCTTGCAGAGAGGCCCCTGTCCCCCGGGCCTAGCAGGTCAACGCTTTACGGAACGGAGAGGTCGTAAGGTCGAACCGTAAATGGAAACAAGAGAGCGCAAGGCGAGTGAGAGAGGTAGAGAGAAAACGGACCCCCCAAAACTCATCGGTAGCCCCCAGTGGAAAAAGTGAGAAGCGGGCGAAACTTAACGTAAACCACACGAGAAAACAATATTCGTCATATATACATACGTATATATACACAGCAAAGACTTAGATATATTTTAGTCGAATCATGTCTTTTTCAATATGCCCGTCTTGATTTTGTAGTAAAATTAATGGTATAGCAGCGCAACAAGCCGATAAATTTTTTTCTTGGAGTAAGCAACCATCGAGTAGTTACATTGTAGTCGTATCAAATTGATCGTGCAAGGAGTTATTTTCAAGCTGTTATCATAAGTTTTTAAAGAAATTCTTCTACAATGAAAATTTGGTCTGAACTTAAAAGTTAAATAGTGGCTGTTCCCGTTGACATGTTATCTTGTAAACCGAAAAAAATCATTTGCCTGAATTTGAAATAACTCGGGCAAATAATTTAATGAAATTAATTCTAGAACGTCTAATGTTGAAGCAGTTATTATAAGTTTTTAATACTTTTTAAAATATGATTTTTTAAATACATTTTCTAATATGAATATTTATTAAAAGTAGTTAGAGAGACGAGTCTTCTTTTGCATTAAAGAAAAGAATAACACTCTAATTTTCCATTGTATAACGTTATAAGTAACATAAAAAAAAGTTAAAAAAATACTAAAATTGAAAAGTTTAAAAAATCACATTAATTAAGATTTTAGGAGATACTATCATTAGAATCATATAAATCTTGTTTTTCTCATCATTCATTAAAAACAAATCGTATAAGCCCCTTACCCGTCAAATTTTGACATTTAGAATGTGAGTTATCAACAATATACATACATACAAAATACACATATGCGCATGTGTATATATTTTCTAGAAATGGTGCGCTATGATACCTAATTATACCTTTAAACTTACTTATGCTTGACGCGTCCGCGAAACTGTTAATACACGTAATAACATTGATTGAACTATATATCCAAAAGTGTACGCCCGGATAGGAATTTCATTTTATAACTAAAAATTAGAGATACTTCAATCTATAAAATTTGCGCTCTCACCTGCAGGTGCAATATCGTTAGTAGCCGTTTCACGTCATAAAACAAATAAAAATGAGTTTATGTCCGGCCATATTACGAAATTTCTATTGCGTACGATAAAGTGAGAGTAAGCTCTTTTCATCGCGCTCGAGTGCTCCCGTTCAATCAACTTCTATCGCAATTCACTTTTTCAGCATTTAATGTACACGCGTGTAGTAAAAGGAAAGAGAAAAGGAAAACAACAGCAAAATGAACGTTGATAAATATTTATGAGGCTATACCGGCGAGGCGAGAATGTATTTTTAATAGCTCGTTTGTAGTCGAACCAAATTGGCAATTACCAAAGGATACTTTGTTAATACGGATGAAATAATTAACGAGATGTCGCTATGATGACATTAAAAACACTTTGGCTCTAGCAGTCCCATCAGTGTCGCGCAGTTTGCCGAAACAACAACAGGCAGTCAATCGCCGACAAGCAAATAGCTCGCCATTAAGAAGCTGTACTATCAACTCTGAGTCGTCCCTTAATCGATCGTCGTGCGGTGCAATCTCGTTAAGAGAGGGTAGCCCATGAAAGTGGATCCTTGTGTAGTGGCACAGGAGTACAGTCGTGTAATGCAATGTTATAGGGGGAGAAGAGACTTACAGGCAGCTCGTCATCGATGAACAACCTGATTACGCGGCGGCGGCGGCGGTAGCGAGAGAGAGAGAGAGAGAGAGAGAGAGAGAGAGAGAGAGAGAGAGAGAGGCGAAGTGGAACTCGACGCGCTGCTTGCGGCCCCCGGATGCAGCGGCGAACTTTGCTCGATCGATCGTGTAGCGGTAGCAGCAGCAGTAGTCGACGAACTCTGTCTTTCTCTCAGTCAACGGCAACGCAACGCGTTTTTTTCTCTTTTTTTTTTAACGCGACAGGGTCTCTGTCACCGGAGATTATTCTTATTCGTTTTATACACTGCGTTGTTTTTAGTCTTCCGAGGCGAATATCCCACTGGATAAGCTTCGTGGAGACAGACGTAGTACTACTACGCGTGCTAATACTACCCTGGACTTCTTTTTTTCTTCTTTTCACTGAATAGTTAAAGTGTCATTTCAGTTGGCATAACTTTTCCGAGTTTTTATTTTTTCAACGACTTTGGATACTTGAGTTTCTTTTTTTTGTTTGAACTGTAGAAATTGAATTTTCACGAGTTATCGATTGTTTAGCATGAAAACAGACATAAGCTGGATAGCGTTTTTCACGATTTATTTGTGAATATCGTGTTAAATAGTAAAGAAAAAGTATGAATCTATTAATTCGTCGATGTACAGTCAAACGATGCTATTGCTCGGATCAGTTGGATTATTTTTCGACTGGTCGATAACACCCACGGTAGCGTCGTCAATGTTACAGATGTCCGAGCTGTCGTTTGCTTTCACCAGATGCATAGCGGACGCAAGCCTCAAGGCCTGAAATCAAACAAGTTCATGTAGTGCATATGTGCGTAGCTTAGCTTGGATCCACGCAACCTTTATCGTTTGTAAAATCATGTTTGTTTCACGCCCCTCACTCAAGGGTCAGATATTTGATTTCGATATTTCGCGCGAAAACATACGTCGATTTGTCAGTTGCATCTCTGCCGGTACGTTCTATAAACCTTTCGGTTGATTGCGAGACGCACACCGTGAAAATTCGATTTGATACTTTGTAGGGCAATCATCTGCTCAATAGTTCATCTTCAAACGTAATTAGATTTTCTTTCGTTGCAATCACATTCGTTATTGGGTTTGAGAGAAGCGTAGACACGGCTAGCAAGGCCTCCCTGCACCGACGAAACCCGCCGCGTGCAACAGCTGCTGCTCATTCGCTCAATCAAATTATCAAAGTGATATGAACTGTAATTTTTCGAAAGTATAAATTTAAATTACATTTTACATTTTGCTGGAGTTGAAAAGTTACGGGATAATCCGTTTCATTCACCCAATCACATTATCAAAGCGATACGAATTGCAATTTTTTTTACAAATCAAATTAGACTACATTTCAATTAGATTACTTTTTAGTTGAGATGAAAATGACATCTATAATCAAGCCAGATGCTGTTGTGACATTTAACGCATTTTTCATTTACGTCAATACACGGTAAAAAAGAATTACACGAAAATTCGTATTTTCCAGCGAACTTTTTATCGGGCACGTTCAATTAATTGTCGTACGCTCCTCGTCGAACCGTTTTCGATTATTTCGCTCAAATAAACGTGCGAGAAAACCATGTTGTTTCAGCGCAAGCAGGGAGGTAAAGACCGATGTTGCCGACAGGTTTTCTTTCTTTTTTCCTTGTAAATATATAAACATTTACCGACGGCAGCCGCGCGCGTCGATGGTAGAGAGGGATGTGCTCGCGCGAGTGTGCGAGTTCTTCAAACGCGCGGCAAACCAAATACTCGCGCGCCCGGGGAAGCTTTGCTTTCCGTATGCGATATGTATCGGAAATGATTTCCCACTTGGCCGCGTATGATTAACTCTGTCACCCGGGGTGAAATTGAATCGTTTGGTCCGGACAGGTAGCCCGCGAGCAAGCGATACTTTGGCCGATGGAATATTTCGTCGCCCTTGACAGACAAGTCTCGCGTCGCGCCGAAGACCGGATAGAAGTAAAGTGGGAAAGAGCCTGTTATCTTCGTCATTTACATGTGACGGAGTCGCTTGATGCCACTTAAAAGGAATTGGGAATTGAATCGGTACGGGCCGGTCAGAGTGCGTGCACGCATCGACTGTTTTCCGCCCCGTTCATTCGAAACATTGAAAACAGAAGACTTCGAGCCGCGCATAGGTGAGAATTGTACGCGATTAACTTAAGATCGTAAATGTTGTATGGTATGGGCATAGGGTCGTTGACGTGTGAGTGAACGTCAAACGAGCCGGTAGTGTATAATTTTGCCGGCGAGGTCGGTGCGTTAAACGCTCAGACGCCAAATGGTTCTTCCGAGAGGTGTACATAGAATCAGATGGTATGATTTGCGCGCTAAAAGTGCCAAATGCGACGTCTTCTCCGCCGATCTTGAGAGCGATGACGATTCCCCCGAGGATGCGTTATTGAAAAGGGGCCCGGGAAAGTGACGCGGCCGGACCTCTAGAATAGTGTCGAAAAAAAATTTGGTTGCGTTCCACGTTCCATTAATAACACAACGTTGACAGTTTATTATGGAATTATTGTTTGGCCTTAAGTGGTCCTTTTTAAATCGCGTTAGTTTAATTAATTTATCCTAGCATTTTATGTAACTTACAAGTAATAGTGTAAATAACGACGCCTGGTTAAAAATTCAAATTAAAACGAAATAATATCGACAAGCACTTCCTTTATTTACGTTTCGCCTGGATCCGAACACGTTTATTTGAAAAAAACCGTGGGCTTTGTTAACTGTATTTACACGAGGTAAAATGAACTGTTAACGTTAACGGTTTTCATGACTTACGGAGGTAGATTCATAATATACGAATTGTAATTGTACGACTGCACGTATACACAGCGCAGGGAGATAATGGGAAATGGATCTTCTTTTTGATTTTTTCGCAGATCGTTTATCTATGAAATTTCCCATGGGAAATTCAACTTTCTTGAAATACATAAAATAAAAAGATAGGAATCGAACTCTTTTACTCGGGTCCGGCTAGCGAAACTTAATATTAGTTTTCAGATTATAGGAGCCGAAATGCACTCCGTAACGGAATAATGCAATGCGGTGTACGAAATGAAGCGCTAACAAGTGGGACTATCAAGAATAATTACACAATTACAACAGCGAGCACTTTGACTAATCAGCGAACTATCTCATATAGCGTATATTGGGCGTGCATAGCTAACCATCATCGAACAGTCATTCGCGTTACAATGTAGATTGAAATTTCAATATAGCTGCGAATCCGCAGTTTGCGTCGTGCGGATAGAATTGCGATTAAATTGAGAGAAAGCGTAGACAGCGACCCTTCTTTGATCCCGTCGCGCTGTGTAGAGAACCCAAATGATATAGATGGCCATAATGATGGCTGGAATGCAGATGCCGGCAATAGACGAGGCTCCTCGCACGAATACATGATGAAGCGCAAGCAGTATTATGGCTATGGCTGCTCCGCCTGCTATGTAACGACCCGTGCTTCTCCGTTCCTCCTGTTCAAATCAAAAAATAAAATGATCGTGAGCCTCCGTTATCTTTACTTTGTCATTGGTTTATGTCTCTTTTTATCCTTTTTCTTCTTGAAACGATGCGCAGCGAACAATATCTATATATCGGTCACGCATCGCGCGCAAGGATGAAATACTGCCAAGTCCCTTTGCCAATGGGTCTCTCGTTTATCACGTTGTCCCGAATAAAATCGCGCGCGCCGTCGAGATATTTGGACCGCGTTACGGGACAAGGACGTCAGCGAGCAGATGCGCGCATGCACGTGTGCATTTTCGTAAGACTGGGAGCGAGCGTGTCGCCGAGCTCGACGCTGGCAGCTTCGTAGAACAACAATGGCGCGTGCGTTGCCGTCCAGGATGCTACGTATGCGCGCGGATATTACGCAGTTACGTCCGCGCGCGAATGTTGCACAACCGACGCCCGCTGCGATGCGAGCGCGGCTCCACCCACGCGCGTTACACTCTAAAGGGGGAGTCGGGCCTATATCGATGACGGACTTCGCATTGACGCGAACTGCGCGTGCACAAAAGCGCTGAACGGAACGACAATTCGTTTGTGCACACGTTCGTATCCTTTGTGGGCGAAGCTTTCGACCGTCATTTCCTCGATTTATCGCACGTGAACGTATGTGCTAGTGGAATTGAACGATTTATTTGCCGCGGTGAAGCCACTCGCTAATTCCATTGCTGTTTTGCATGAAAATGAAAACTTTTCCGAGCATAAATTTATCGACGAGGAACAACTGGATTTCCGGAGTTGTCGGTAAATCTGATCGTTGCGGAAAGCCACATTATTTCAATAAACGTGACGACTGACTTTTTCAGGAGTAAACAACAAGGAGGATCAATTCAGTCTTTCGAAAAATGTCACTGCCGAATGCAAAGCGAGCGATTTGCATTTGGCTATTTCATTTGTCCAAGTTCGCACTCAAAGAAGTTTTAAGAGACTGCCATTCGCACGCACTCCTATAAAATGGGCCGCGCGAGGCGCTTTTTGCCTATTCACGTATGCAGATGAAGCTTCGTATATTCCCTACATATACCCTCCTCCTACTAGCAGATGCATTCTATTTAGTCGGCATACATTTCGTCGCTGATATTATCATATTCAAATAGAGCTTCTTTCGTAATTTTATAATCAACTTAATCGATAGCCGCGGAAGTTTAGGCGAACGATAGAAGTTCCTTTTTTTGCAAATGGGATAAATCTGAGGTTATTTATTTGTGTTTGCATCTGTGGTTTCGTTGCACTATTAATTTGTCTTTTCTCTACACGCGTAGCGTGGAATTTATTGGCAATTGGACATTTGTCGAATGCCTCAGTGACAATTAATAACGCTAGAGGCTTGTACAAGAGAAGTTCGGTGCTTACCTGTGCTAAAACGAGTAGACATGACATTATATTAGCTATGAACCATGTCGTGTAATTCTTGGGATACGATATACCATTTGATAAGCACCGTCGCATTTGTTACTTAAAAATCACACTATCTTTTAACTGTTTATCTTTGCTAACTCATTACTTGAAATTTCACGAGATGGATGTCTAACTATAAGCGTGCAATTAGTTGAGGCGACATGTCACGCGGATAGTACGACTCGATTTGCGATTCAGAACGATTTAATTGTTTCTTTTCATTAGCTGATATATTTTGCAATAAAAATCATAAAAATAAATTCGACCATAGATGAGTTTTGATTCGGCAATGAAGAGTGATTTTTTACAGTACGTCGATGAAAAATTGTAATTACACTTTGATCAAAGCTTTATACCATCAGCGTCTGCTAACGGATGCTGCTCATTTTGTTAGAGCTCTATTAATACTACAAGCGGGTTTTCTGAAACCACCCTCTTTTACGGATTGTTGACACAGCACAACTTGCTAGTCTATGCTGAATATATTCTCATTAATATTAGGTATGAGCCATGTCGTATAATGCTCGGGATACGACATACCATTCGAAATAAGCGTCGTCGCATTTGTTATTTAAAAATCATACCACCTTTTAACTGTTTATCTTTGCTAACTCATTACTTGGTATGGCGTAGCATTGATTAATCTCATCAAGCTTTACTGCACGGTTTCCTATTGATTTGAGTACATTCAGCGACAAAAATTAAATTGACGATAGCCAATGCATATAAGTCTGTTTAACGCAAGAATCAAAGTTTTCAAAGTTTCGAGAAGATAATGCTTCTATACATACCACGCCGGTATGTGCTCTTTATAAAGAAATCTATGATTTATAGTGAAACATCAAAAGTTCATCAAAACTTTACTGATATTTTTTTCTTACGAGAGTACTAAAGATAAAAAAAATTATTTACTTTTCCAAAGTTTGAAAAAACTCTCGTTTTCATTGAGTTTAAAGGACGGAGATCATCACTCTCCGCGAAGTCGAAAAAAAAAGTAACTACGCTTTCAAAATTCAAGTAATCATCGTTGAGCGATAGCGGCCGGATAAAAAAAAAAAGAAATAACTCTTTTAACAAAGTTCAAAGTAATCCAGCTAACTTTGCCTCTGGTCGTATAACTCGCGATAAAAGTTTCAAAGATGTATAAAATGTTACGCTGCATGCAAGGGAAGAATGGAGAGATTCGACCGTATACATACATACTACATACATACATACATACATACATACATATATATAAACACACACATACACGCAGAAGAAAGCCAGTAGTGGCTAGTAACCTACCTTGGTGGACAAATGGTTAGCAGTTTCGTCGTCTGCTCGCAATACGTCCCTCGACGACGTCACAGACTGCAACTGCATATTGGCTGCCGACAGCTGTCGATTTTCATTTCATCAGCTCCTTCCTTCAATGAGTAACGCTTATCGTCCGGCCACATCAGTTAACTAATATCAGAAAGGCGCGTGTGGAGAAATTCGCCAAAAACATACTTGCAATTATCTTCGCGCCCTAGATTTCGCGTGCACGTGACTCTCGAGCGCCAATTTTTCAAAGTTACGAGTTCCTTGTCCGCCAAGTTTTTGTTGGGTTTCTCAAATGCTTAGGCACGAACTTGTTGCACTTCTTTTCGTTATTCAAGTTGCGAATGATTGTCAGAGAGAAAAGAAAAAAGACAAACACGGATAGAGGAGCCGACCTTTCGAACTTAGTCTCGAAAGTTGTCTCGGGCGCGTAATGAAAAAACTTTGAAAAAATATCGAGAGTATCCAGCCGTTCGGAAGTGGTGCAAGCTCGAGGTCGCAATGGAAACTGAGAGAGACGAAAAGCCCGCGCAGGCAATCGAGAGGCACAAAAACTACGGAGTACGTATTTTGCCGGGATGTATGAAAGCGCAGTTTCGGGGAGGGGTTAGGCTCGCGATAATAAACGAACGGAATCCCACGCAACAAATCTGCATCATCAGATTCTTTTTTCGTTAGCTGTTCTTATTTCTTGATCGCTTGTTTCCCGAAAGTGTTGTACACGGGGTATTTCTACTGGTGAACCGCGTCGTGTTACTCGACACGACGGATTGGCTGTTTCTGTCTTTTCGGTTTGTTTTCACGGCTAAAAGAAGACGCCGAATTACGGATAATGAATGACGGCTGCTTATTTTTTTTAAACGCTTCTCCCGGCTGCACTACGCCAGCTACCATCAAGTATATAATACGATATATCGTTTATAGTTGCGCGTTACACCAGTGGAACTTGAAGGATCGATGGATTTTTCAATAAAAGGAATTTATCGATTTTTCTCTCTTTGCTCAAGCAAAATGGATATTGATGATGCAGCGGATACTTTTTTAAGGTTACGAGTGGCTATAAAATTTCGAGATAACATTTTATAGAATATTTCTTATTTTAAAGATTTGTACAAATGTGTCGACATTTGTTTCATTAATTGACTGTATATGTTTGAAAAATCATAAAATATCCTGTATGCAATTGTTATTTTTGTCATTAAATACCTTAATTCGTAGTAGATAAAAAAAAGACATATTTCCTCGCAGTATATGCAAAAATTAATATTTTTTATCGGCCACGGCCGTACATTTAATATATTGGTGCTTATTAATATTCAAATGCCAAGCATTAAGAATAAATCACACACCGCGCGGTACAAATAAAATGAAACACACTGGCAGCAGCGATGCGCGACATAAATGATTTCTCACTAGACTGCGCCATCAAAATTCCTCTCGGAACTTCGCGTATGTAACTCTCTTCCGCGGAGAAGGAGATAATATCCTACCGAAAGGCGAGAAGAGCGGAGTACGTCAGCGACCCGACGCGTGGAAGTAAAAAGGACAGGGGTCCCGAGTATAGAACTAGCTGCCTATATATCACGTCATCTCGGGGTCGGCTGCGAATATAAGTGCATCGAGGCAAATATTCCGGAAATTCAAATGACGAAGCTATATACACACGCACGACATGCCGCAGTGAGCTTACTTTGCCCGCGAATTTTCATCGTTCCTTCAGGCTTCGTCCTTTTTTTTATGGCCTGTATGATTCGTGTGTACGTCCTGGCTGTCATAACTGCAGCTTTTATGAGCGATTTTTCAATGAACAGACATTGCGCGCTGAAAAATACGCATTGTTAAACTTTAACGATCACTCTCGTGTAGAATTTCATGATTTTTGTTTTACAGCACCTTATTTTTTGTTGATTTGTGAGTACATACATTATTTAGTTGACGGGGGGGGGGGGGGGGGGGGGTAAAATGAAGCGATTCAACCGGAGGCAAGGCTTCGTGCCTTCTTAGGGATGCTATATCTATGCACGGTTTATTGAGGTCATGAATAATTGAACGAGATCTTTGTTAAGAACCTGAGCGTAAGGGAATAATCCGTCTGAAGTAGATATGTGCTGAGACGACATATTTTACGTCGAATCTCTTCTTACATAATTAATTACTCGACTTTTTCGCATAAGTCATCTTGATTTACTGTCGCACAGCCAATTATGGCGCGAAATACAATGAATCATCTGTGAGGGAGACGATAAGCCCCGTTAAAAGAGTCGTATTGTTTGCTAAACTACCGGGCGAAATTTCTCCACAAGCGCTCGTTACCGCGGTTGTTTCCAATGATTAAAGCTCGACTGAATTATAGCGTCGGAAACAGCTTTCACGGCCGATCGAATGATATACCCGTCAGCGGGCGCCAAGTACGCGCAGCGGCAGCAGCTCCGAAGAATGTCCGCACGCTCGGACGCCTGCTCCGCGAGGATAATTATTTGCTTTGGCCGAGCTTCGGCTGGGCAAGCTATATTGGCCGCGCGCGCAGTCCGAGATCGCAGGCGGGCGACGCTCCATCGAAGGAACAAGCGCGACGCGACGCCAAACGAGGCAGGATGCGCTCGCTGGCATTCCGCGCCTGTCTGCTTTTGCGGCGCCTCAATTTACTCGCCCGACCCAGTTTCTTTTTCGGCCAAGCGCGGCTCGTCCTCGTTTCGACGCGTTACAATCGCGGACGCGTCGCGCGATTTATCACCCAGCGAGCGCGCGTCTCCCGATGCGCTCTTGTATCGCCTTTACGAGTCTGTCGAGGGGGACGACTCTCGTAAATGTATATTTTTGGTTTATGTCCTTTGGCTGGAATTGCCCAGAAGCGCGAGACAATTCGACGACGTGCGTACTACTCCGATTCTAGTGATGCGCCTGTCGCGGTTCGTCTGTCGCGCTGAATAAATCGAATAAATTACAGCTGCGCCTTTCGATGCTGCGGGACTTGTTAGAGCGATCTTATTCGACTAGCCCTGATATCGAGAGTTTGTATATAAATGGCAAGGCACGAAAACTTACGAGAAATCTAAATTCACGACTCTCTATCCGACAAGTTTTTTCTTGTACTCTTCATTGAAAAGTATGATTGAAATGTAGGGTCATTGAATGCTCGGAACGCCTGACGGAATATTTACTTTGGCTACTTCCAACGGAGTCAGGAGGTTGCTCGTTAAAGATGAAAATGTCAAGGTGATCATATTTTTCATCGAATGAAGCATATCTGACGACTTTCTATCTTTAGGGTCGGAGATCTCGATATAGACATCCCTACCTCCAATATAAGTTCTATTTTCGTTCGTTCCTCTTTGAATATCAATCGCGTGCACAGAATTAACAACGAGATTTCTAATGCATGGCACTAATTTTGTGAAATTTCCACTGTGAAAACAAGTACTAGGCATTGAAAAGCGTAGAGTCGGTCAACTTCCATACAAAGCCGCGACCGTATACGCTCAACTCTGCAAAATTAAAATTTTTGTCGGAGAGCGAAGAAGTCTGAAAAGTACGTGCTCTGAAAGGGTTGGTGAAACGTCATCTGGCCGCTCTTGTTTTAAGCATAAACCGCGAAATCCTGAGGTTTTGGTGTGGGTTCTAAAAAGCGATATTGAAACTGCCAGCTGACGCACGTATATACAACGTGGATGGCGGCTTTCTCGTAAAAGCAGCTGCACCAGTGCTATATACGGGCTTATTACCTACCTGCGCATCATCGCCGACGGATGATGCTCCTCTAGCTGCCACGGCGTCACGTGTCGCCCTTGTATAACAGTATGTGTAGTAGGTTCTTCAGCGTCGCTGCGAGCGAGCTTCGAGTACACTTGATGCGAGCAGCTTTGTATGACGGATGGATAGTTTGTAGAGTGTGCGTTCCATTTTTTTTAATTTCAAGTTGGTCTAGTTGGCTGTTTATCGGTTGATTTTTTTTCTACACGTTCGTGGGATTTAAATTTTTCTTTTTCAAATTTTTCGCAATATATTTAGTATTCTTAAATATTCTCAAAGGTGTATAGTAAATAGTGCAGTTATACTCAACACTAATGAAATAAATATTTTTATTTTATTAAGTCTTTAACAAGAATTTATTGAATAAAAATGTATATAAAATATATCATATCAATCCTTTTCTGTAAAATTTTTAAAAAATAAATAAAATATATAAATATGTCATTGATTAATTTTGATCTTATCACCAGTGTCATGAGTTGGTGTTAAAAACTAATACTTAATCAACTTATACAGTCACTTCTTATAAGTACAATGGTTAAACTGAGCAGAGAGCATTGAATCTACATTCTTGTTCAGTATCTGGGAAGATATCTTTCATTTGTGATACTGGACATAATGATTTTGATGAGCAACCTGGTATCTGAACTTCACGTTCTTGGTGTAATAGAAGGATACTAGATCCTTGCTTTTCACAGCTGTTGAAATTCAAAAAATTTTCTCGTGAGAAATAGCTTTTAATGCTATGTGAATATTAAAAATAAGCTTACTCGTATAAAACGAAAGCTATGTTACTTGCAAAAGCATCAATCAAACTTGACTTCCATTTTCTTGAATTCAAATGTGAAGAATAGGATTGAAAAGTAAGAGGCTTATCATCTTTTGCTACTCCAAGAATCGATAAAAGTTTGAGTACTGTACCAGAATGTGAAAAATATGCTGTTGCTAGAGCTTTTTCAGATGAACTATAAATGCTATCATTTAGTATGTTTTTTAAAATTTTATGAATTTGAAAATTTTTTATCCAATTATACTTACTCAAAAAATGTAAACATATCTCTAAGAGCTGGACATGCTTGTTTATAAGTTAATTCATGGCCATACCCATCAACCCAATACAATTCTAGATCTTCCACATATTCTAATACCTAAGATGAAAAAAATTCAAATAGCAAATATTATCATATTACATTGTTAAATGAGAATTTAAATGGATTACCTTTACATCATCTAGTGAAAGTAAATCACACCATGATGAATTTTTCGTTGCATCCCATGCTGTTTCAAATGCACAAATCATATATAAGTAGTACACTTCCTCTGTAAATTAGATAAAATATTGGGTCAATTATTACATCCTAAAGAATTTTAAAAAGATTGATTCCACTATCATTTTTTAATAGATTACCATAATTAACTTTAAATCCAACACGTTTGGATACATTATCTAAAACTTTCCCTAAAATTTGGCTTTGTATCAGGGAGTTTTTCTCCTTGTAGGTTTCAGGATTTTCGTCAACTTCAATTTTCCATCGATCACACCTCTTATAGAACTAAAAATTATATTTATAAGTATCTTTTCTGTGAATAGCAAAATTAAAAATATTTTCAGTTACCCTCAGTATAGGATCTTTATTTTCAGCTTCTGGAAACCCAATACTCATACTTTGATTTTGTCCAAACAATCCAAGAGCAAAAGATTTTGCACTCTTCTCAGCTCGCTGAGTGTTAGTGTACTTAAACTATTTATATTACTTAATAGTGTAGAATTGAAAGCTTTGAAAACAGATTTTTATTAAAATCTAGTAAATTTTACCTTATATACATCTTTGCTATAATCTTCTGGCAAGAGTTTTGGGAATCTGGCTTGCATTCTTTCTGCCAAATCAACAAGTTCATGTTCTCCTTCAAGAGCTAAGTTCTTATCATCATCTTTGTTGAAAGACCTTCTCCATTCGGTTAATCTTTCAACCGTGTCAACCGATAACTCTGAATTATTTTTATTAAAGTTTTCAATGATCTTATTCTTTAGTTCAGACAGTATTGTTTTCATTTTTTTAATATGCTTTTTTCCAGGAAATCTGGTACCATGACGTATCATCATCCAAATTTTTTTTTCTGTACATCCTACAATTTCAATTATTTTGTTTAAATTTATATATCAACTTTCAATACCAATTTATTATTATTTTTGTAGCTAAGTACAATAAATGATTTCAATTTTACCTGGATAGTGAAGTTGAGAATCATTATAATTAGCTACAAACCTATATGGTGTTTTTGTATTTAATTGACAATAGAATTTGTTACTGTCATTGAAACATTCTTGTGCAAATAATCCTGGGAACAAAGTGCTAATACATATTTGTAAAAACAGTAAGAGTATGACTTTTAACATTTTGCAAACGTTTTATAAGTGTAGACTAAAATGGAAAATATAGAAATGTTATTATAATAATTAAATAAAAATTTTTTTTTATTGTAACGGTTGAACAAACTGATTTCTAACTTTATCGTTTAATGAAATCTTCCTTGACTACTACTACTAAGTAAAATATTAACATCTGAACAACAATGCTATCATAATTTTATCAAATGCTAGTTACTGGGATAATAGAATGAACAAAATAACAAAAAGAAATATATAAATCGTTGAACAGAAGTCAAGGTATCTGGTCTTGTTTATTGTGATTTCGAAACTAATAATATGAGATGGCAACATTTATTTTTATCATCATAAAGTAAAAGCGCGAGAATCATGGATACATAGATGCACCGCAGACTCACGTCTCATCCGGTCTCCGCTGGCGTGCTGGCTGTTCCCATATAGATCCCACGACCCATACACGCATATTACGCATCTACTACGTGCTGCAACTACTGCAGGAAGCAGACGACAGAGATTACGAACATGTTTTCATGAGTAGACGGAGCTTATTTAGTATTTCTTTGTAATAAAAAATGGCAGTTTGTGCATTATCAAAAGTCTTTCGACGACTCAGCATTTTTAAGAAAGGTAAGAACTGTATAAGATAAAATAATTTTGCTAATTCTTATTATTTTATTATGGTATCGTCGTTATAGTATCATAAACATAACCTTGCCATGTTATCTTTTAAAATTATTTAATCGCTTAATATTTTTGGACTATAAAGTTTCAAATAAAGTGTTTGATTTAATTATTTTATAGATGACTTTCCCGTACGTTTCATCACGACACAGACAAAGATCATTAGAGTTATTCCAAGTTTATTAAGTTCACTACAAATACAAAAATCACATAAAAAAGTAACAGATAATCATTTACTATTTTCACCAAGATCTGTTAGTCTGAACTTTGATATAACTAAAAATGAACTGCCATTACACAAAATCATTGAGTCTCCAATGATTTCAAATTTTCAAATTGATGAACCTATCAAAAATGTTATTGAAAAAAGTGATATAGTACCAAGTACAGTTATTGAGGCACCTACACTGAACATCATTGAGAAAAAAGCTGAAAGAATGATAGTGATAAGAAGAAAGAAAATGAAGAAACATAAAAAAAGGAAATTTTTGAAAAGAATGAAGTATGTGCTTAGAAAGCAAGAACAGAGAAGGAAGGCTAAGGAATATAAAATATTCTATGCAAATCTACAAGAAATGCAACGAACAGCTGAAGAGTTTGACCCAAAAAAATATGTTGCTGAGCGACTGCATCTTCTTACAAGAGAAAGATTGCCGAATAAATGGTATGGATGGTATGCTCCAAAAGCTTTAATAAAACAGTTTATAAAAGAACGAGAAGAGGCAGAAGCAGTTAAACTGAGAAGGCGTACATATAAATTAAAGGTTGATTGAGTAATAATAATTGTTTCATTGTACATTGGAAATTCTTTTTAATAGAGCAATAAATATTTATACTATTATATAGCATTTAGTACATTAATATATTTAACGAAATCACATAATTTAGTTTGTTGTGATATAGATAACCTGATTTTATTTGATTTAACAAAATACTAAATTTTTATTTTTATGTTTTATATGGAATGCTTATTTTTTTAGTAAAACTTGTTACTATTCTCATATGCATATCTGACATTAAAAGTTTGCTAAGAAAAATATTAATTCAATTTTGTTGATAGAGACATTGAAATATATTTAAAAGAATACATAGCATGTTTTCAAAATTTAGTAATTTAGACTCAGTTGTCAATGATTAATATACTTCTATAACATATTTTTAAAAAGTAATGAATTTTTATAATAATATTAATAGAAAAAAAAGTACAATTTCTGATATAAAAAATGCGTTGTTTTGCAGAATTGTTTAATTTCTTCATTACTGTATGTATGATTAATCAAATATATATGATTTGAACAAATTGAATAGTAATAATTGGGAAGGACAACGGAGACTCGAAAATAATAAAACCACTATTGTATAATTGAAAAATATCAAATATTTTACTTCGCATATCAGATGATAGAAAAATAAGTAGCGCGTGCTTTGTTACGACTTAATATTTACTATTTACATTTATTCAATATTTTTTACATTTAAATGATTAACGGTTTATTTCGTGAAATATTGTTTACATGTGTTTATGCATGCAGGCGAATGATAGTTCAACTAAAAAAGACGTTTGATACATCAATTGATTACATGTTATTGATGAATGTTATCGTAAAAATAAATAATTTGGTTTATGCATTTTAGCGTAACTTAACTTATAAAAATATATAATGATCTAGACGAAGTTATCAGCGTAAAATAATATGACTGGCCTAAAAATAATTAGTTTCAATGACACCGCCAAAAGCATATGAATAATATTACGGTCTAAAAAACATTGCTAGTTACGATAAACTTACAAGCTAATAAAAGTAAAAATACAACTTTCACGTTAGTTTGCAGCTAAAACTATACAAGATTTTCCTACAAAACTTATAGCTTTGCCAAATGTATATATACACATTTCTCCGACAAACATTTATTTGAACATAATCGAAAAAATATCATATTAATATTTCGAGAGTTTTCCGTATTTGTAATCACGTAGGTAGCGCCTGACCCTTTCTCGCTGACGTAAACCTTGACTTAAGACTCGATATACCAGTCTCCAAACTGTCGTTTCTTCCAGAAAAGTAATCCTCTATCTCTTGAAGCGTTTTGTTTTTGGTTTCTGGTAAGCATAAATAGAAATATATCGTCCCGAGTAATGAAATCCAGCCATAAAGAATAAAAGTTCCTTGTTGCGTAATAGCCTCAGCGAGCATTGGATAAGTTTTAACGACTGAAAATATGAAGCTGTGAGCACACATAGTCGTCAATCCTCCGACGATACCGCGAACTTGAACGGGATAAATTTCTCCAATCATCACCCAAGGAATCACTAAAAACCCCAAAGTACAGTGGACGGTGTATCCCATAATGCAAATGACAGGAATCCATTGTACCCAAGTACCAACTTGTTCGAATAAAAAGTCTTTGGCCCATATGTAAGCACCAAGTCCGACCATGAATAGTCCACAGCCGAGAGACGAAATCAGAGTCATTGGTCGCCTTCCATATTTTCGACAAGCAATGCAAGCTGCAACTGTCGAAGCTAATCTGACGGCGCCCAAAACGACTGTCACCAAGTATTTGTTTAACTTTATTCCAGAATCTTTGACGATGTCCACCGCGTAAAAAGTGACGGCATTGGTTCCTGTCCATTGATAAATGAGAAAATAGAGAAACAGCAATAAGAACGGTTTCAGTGCACTTGGTTTCAATAAGGCCGAGATGATTTCTCGAAAACCAGTTAGCCTCTTGATATTATTTTTATTTGAGAAATTGATCAGCGTGTTCATTTCCTCGTTCAAGTCGTACGAGGTGCTACGGAACTTCTGCAACGACTCCTTCGCTTCCTCGGGTTTGTTGACCGAAATGAGATACGAGGGCGACTCGGGGAACAGAAACATCAATATCAACGCCGCTGCAGGTACGATCGCACTGATGCCAGCGCAAATATGCCAATGGAGAACGGCGCCGAGAGCGTACTCCACTAGAACTCCAGTGCTCACTCCTATGCTCGATATGGCCGTGAGCATGCCGCGCAAATGGGGTTGAGTCACTTCACTGGTGTAGACTCTTGCCGGAGCACCGACCATCCCTGAGCCGAGACCGGTGAAAAATCGACCGGCGTAAATCAGCCGCACGTCCGACGCGTAGAATATCAACACCCAGCCTAATAAAGCTGGGATCTCGGTGACTATCAGAGACAGCTTTCGACCCAGCATGTCCATCAGGTAACCGGATAGGAGGCAACCGATGGGCGTGCCGATTGCTGACATACTCGCTGAAAATTTACACATCACATTTCCATCCTCGTTTCTCTTTTCGCGTCAATTTCATGCGTAATCGATACTCACCAATCCACGATTCCTCGGACAAGTCAATTTTAAGGGTTGTATCTGCTTCTTTCATTTGCGAAATCGCGATGGCAGAAAATCCAAATACCATTCCGGTGTTGATCGTTCCTAATTGTGCTACGAGAGCGGCTAGAATTTGTCTTATCGGGCTACCTTTCCTGAGCTTCGGTATAGCTTGGCTTTTCTCAATGCCATTTTTCATTGGTATTATCGTTGCATTGAAATTCTGATCGACCAGTGCCGTTTTCTCAGCGTTTAGCACCACTGAATGTTTCCTGAAATGAAAATTCGAATAATCAATCAGCTGCGAACCGATGACGTATCGATTCTGCGATTTCGTAAATATTTACAGGAAACAGTTTGCGTTCTCGCTTAAAAAAATTTACGAATACATTTCTAGCTCGCGTTTCTTGTACAATTGTTTGACGTTCAAGTAAAAAATCATATGGCCGGTTTTTTGCAGTAGTAATAATAGCTTACGATTTTTTGCCTTATCGCTAAAAATCACGAGTGCTTTCACGTGAGTAAGTACAAGACAACGTAAATAACAAATAATTTAATATAATTTAGTGCTACAGATAGATACGAGAACTGAAATTGTAGGTTTTTATACTATTATTAGTTTTTTGCTTGAAATAGAAGGTAATAAGAGATTTAAGGTCGAAATAATTCATTGACGGAAGCACAGTCTAATTGTTTCGTATTCTGCCTAATTAAGCTGCTTGTAATGTGTCATCAACAAATTTTTATGTAAATATTTGTAAATCAAGCGATACCAGTACACCGATAACATGGCTTATAATTAGAAAAAAAATTGTTGTGTTATCAAGAGGGGGAGGGGGCGGAATTAAATTATCTCACCGCAACAGATGTTTAAAAATAGTCCTCAAATGGAATTTCTCTTACAGGAAAAAGAAGGCTTTCATTACAATTAAGATGTCTTCTTGTCTCAAGAGATTTTTCTTATTAGAAGAGAATTTAATGGGAATTATAGTGCTTTTGTTATAATAGAGTATTTTTTTTCATCGACATATTTGAATGCACATTCATCATCGTATTGTTTCTTTGTTATTTGATTTCACGGGGGGTTACACTTGAATTATTATAAAATAAAATACTATTTAAATTCTAATAATTTTTATAACGTTTCATTAATCAACTGCTTTTATTGTTGATTAAATAATAGAAGCAGCAGCACTCATGAAAATATTTCACATTGCCCTGTTTACAGACACATAATCAACCATATCATACCATAACTACTAGAGTTTATCAAATTAGCAAATTTGTAGTTTCACGTGAAGCAAACAATTGAAAGAGTGGATGGATTGTAAGTGTTTCCCGTAGTTAATGAATTTATTATTTAGGTCAGGTTATTATTTCTGCTGATTGGAACAATCAAACAAAGTGCGACGGCGGTAGTATGTTTGGATAAATCATTATATTCTTCTTTTTAACATATATGATGAGAATTTCTTCCTTTACAAATATGCAAAAATTAAGAGTCTTTCCAGTCGATAATTAAATGAGGCAAGAGACTACGATAAGCCAATATAATTATACTTTTAGATACGAGTACATATAATTCCAACGTGAGAAAGAAAGTAATGTAACAGAGATGCAACAATATATCATTAATCATATTTACTAATAAATTTATTATTGATTTTTATACAATTATGTTTTTAATGACATTTTGAGTTTGTATAAATAAATTACATTGAGTATCTTATTTTATAAATAATTTATTAAATGACTTTTATTCAATCAATATAATTAAAAATATGGATTCTCAATTTTGTTTATTAGATTGCCAATTCTCATTAACGTTGTATCGTTATTATATTGTGTAAAATGCATAGAGCTTTGTACGTTATTAATTAATTAAATATATTACAAAAAATAGCACATATTAAGATATTTCTTATGAACAGAATTGAATTCAAATGTGCTCGGCTATATATCTTGACGTCAATCAGGTTTTCGGCCAGTTATGAGTCAATCTTCGAGTAATTAGAAGATATGTTCAGATCAGGCTAATCATGATAAGATGGGTACTCTGGATTGCAGAGAAGCTCGCAGAGAAGTAAAGGAGGATGTTGATCTCAAATTAATAAAAGATTCACATACGCCTAGAATTGGCACTGTAAAGTCTATACATTTCGTTTTCGTGTTTCCGAAGAGCACTCTTTTACAGTTGTATTTCGATTTTCGTTTAAAACAGTTTTAATTTTATGCTATGCAATTTATGGGATAGGCTCCTTCGATAATTTTTTAAATCCGTACAAAGCTTTATTTTAGAAGAACTAGGAACAACTATATTATTAAAAGTAAGTTTTTATTAATATTTTATCTTTCCTCTTTTCTAATCTTTAGCTTGTGAACGAATAACCGATCCTATAAATTTCCTGATTCTATACTATATTAGTCCTGCAAGTACTTGAGACAAAGTTACATCTACTAGGGAAATTAGGTTAGATTCCACAACTCCTAGCGACAGAATTTTTGAATCTCTTGTAACAACAAACCCATGATGATCCTAGTTTTATTACATGAGGGTGCAGTCCAAAAACAACGTAATTACAGGTGTCGTCATTTTCGATGTCACATAAAAATTTTTAAGTCTCCGGAGAGATGTGTTGTTGCTGAAAGTCCGGTAGAAAACTAACGATTTCTCTTTTTTTTCTCTTTTTTTTTCTCTTTTTTTTTCTCTTTTTATTCCTTCTATCTATTCGTATTGCTCAAGGCAATGAAAATTCAAACAATAAAAATAAAAACATCACACGTTAGTGAAGAATATTTCATTTGAAAGTTCGGTAAAGTAAAAAAATCGTGGTACTGTAAAAAATATTTTACTTTTTTTTCTTTAAGCTTTATTTAATATTAAAAGAAGATATATTTAATCAAGTGTAAAAATTAAATTGTCAAATCGTTTGTTACATTTAATTTCAAATTTTATTAAAAAATGTTCCAAGTACGTTTAAATTATTATTCCTCAATTTTAGTATTACAAGATTTCTTGATGTTTTTTTAAGTTTCGTATATTCCAATACTTATCAAAATCCGATTTGTACACAGTGTGATATTTTGTTTATTTAAACTTCAATACAATATAAATACAATATTTTTTTCCCATTGTTACACATAAAAAGCTTACATATCTATATTTCTTTCAATATTATTACTCGTGAGATCGTACTTTTTAGCTTGTTTGAGAGTAAAATTCTTTATCAAAATACGCTTGAGTTTGTTTAAAATAGCAAATCATAAATTATATTGTATTATAATTTATATTTCTGAGTGTATTTATGATTTTGTTTTTTTTATTTCGTCGAACCAAATACAAATTTGGAAAAATTTACCTCACACGAATGAAATACAATTTTTTATTATTTTAGATCATTTAAATAGATGAAATAGATTCTTTCAAATCTATTATATTTTGTTTATACTAACTAATTGCTTCTATGAAAATGAATTTAGATAACTAAACTATTAAACGTACACTAACCGTATTATTGGTTTATAAATTTTTATCAGAGTGCCAAGAAGCTTCAGAAATTGTCGAAAACTATTTAGAGTGTTGTTATCATGTTTCTCAAATCAATTAAATTAAAAGAAGCATAAATAGCAGTCATTAATGAACATATTGATTCATATTTATATTTTTAAATTTAAGTGTTAGATTACTTTAGCTCTTGTAAATATATTCGGTAAGTATTTGGTGATATTTCAAGTTTACATGAATTTGAAAATGAATTAGTAGTTAGTCTTGTAAGTAGAATTATAGCTGTATTGGTCAGCAAATGTTAGATATTGCTTTGTACACTACGATGCTGCTTTAGAAATTATGTTGAAAAGACTTTAGTGAAGAGTCTGACTTGGACTTAATCAAAGAATACGTACGTATTGAAAAATAAGTAGTTCCATAACTTAAATGTAAAAATGATTGCTGTGACAAGAATGGAGCAATACGTTGCTAATTTAAGAAAAATCTGTAACACTGTACAAAAATGTTTCGTTTACAAATCTGATTTAGATTCAATTTTCAAGCTTGGTAAATTTTCACTGAAGAAAGATGTTTCATTAGATTTAATTAGCTTATTATTTAATTAGTTTATCAACAAGGATGTTTGCTAATAATTTCTAGATCGTAACGTTTGTAATTTCTTTTCGATAATGAACAATCTCTAATTATTGATAAAAATAATTAACAAATTGTAATAATTTTCACTTTGCATTGCTTTAAACGAACGATCGCAAGGTTTGCATTAAACGACCGCAAGTTTTCTTTCAAGATCCAGACAAAGAAAATGTAGTACACATGAGATTTGTTCGCAGTATGTGCAAAAGATGAATCATTCGAAACAACGTTTCGGCGTGGCAAAAATCCATCCATTCTTTTTTAATTATATTCCGGCGAGGCAGCGCGCACGTGATTGACACGAAAAGTATAATTTTTAAGCATGAGCTTTAAATTAGATTTCGAATTTCTTATACAAGTAATTATGTAGATGTCAAGATATGCCAAGAGAAAAAGCAGCGCTGAGAGGATGGAAAACAAATTTTAATAACAGATCACATCAATGTTTTAATTGAAACTGTTAGAAACTTCATGTAGACTTATTTTAAAAATAAAAACGTTTTCGATTTATGGACTGGAGTCTGTGCATTTGTTCAGTTTGATGGTGATACACAAAATAAAATAAATTACATTTATAATAAATATTTTTCACAGTTATTGAGTGGACGACGATATTTTACAATTGATAGCAAGTCATTTTCGAATACATGATATCCGTATTTAATATCTTGTAATTGCTCTAACGACTGGATTGAAAAAAAAAATGTTATTCGATCGATATTTGCTTTACATTCAAACGAATAGTGTGACTGTAAATGCGAGTTAGCATTTGAAACGCAGATCGTACGTCAATCATTCTCTCACGACGTTCGTCAGGAAAGGAATATTAATAGGCTAATTGCATCACGAGTCGTAAATAGATATAAATCTCTTGCACCAGGTAATAAAACCAGTAATATAACGTCGACCGTATTCACTGATACACTTTTTAACACACAACAAATAGTCGTTGCGTAAAAACAGTTTTGTAAATAATAAATTCATTCTTTTAGACGTGTTATCATAAAAATATTCGTTTTCATGCCGATAATCAGGTTCGGGCACGAGCTTTCTTTCGTTTTTTCCTTCGAACGCCGAATGAGTTCAAGTACTATTTGTATTCTTTATTTTAAATAATAAAGCGTTTTGAATTCTGAAAAACACTTCCATCAGGAGATGTGATAAGCAACAAAAGCAACTCAGCTTTACCTAAATACGTATATTCAAAGTCGACGAAAACGATTACTTCTGTGTGTATTCCGTTTTTTTGTCAACAACGGTAACATTTACATTTCAAAATTCATATCTGTTTTCTAAAGCGATAGCGTATTTTCTTTGCACGTCGAAAATTCTCTTCAAAAATGATTTAGTCTCTGTATATCATCCAACAGCTTTTGGTCAAGCGAATAATTTTCGATAATATAATAAACCCAATTATCACGAATATGGTGAGATTTTATTTGTCGCGCGGGGAAATTTTTCCTTGCATAAGTGATAGCTTCGAAAGTGTAAACATCGCAATGTCAACTACTTATCAAGTTATGACAATTTTAATGAAAAGTACGTTTTGCAAGATAAGAGCTGTTTTTAATACGAAATAGCCACGCCGCGAGAGTTGGTTTTCAATGAGAGCTAATGCTTCTCATTGTGATGTAAAATTGATAAAAATCGGCGCGGATCGGACGCTGCGACGTGGTATAGAAACGTAGAAAAGCTGCCCGTGAACGGGCTCTTGGAGCGACGGTTTTTAACGCGCCAGACGGAAAGAGAGGAAAAAGAGCGCGACCTCATACGTCCGCGCGTCAACCGTTACGGCAAAAATTCGCGTGGCACACACACTCGTTTACGTGCCGGCGATCCCGTGAACGCTGGCTGCTCGTTGTGTGTAGACGATTACAGAGTATCTTGGTTGGGGACATGATTCATTCGCGCCGCCGCCGTACGAAACGTGCACGCTCGTTTCCGCATTCGAGGAAAAAAAGACATTAATTTTTCATGTCGGCGATCTCTCCACCAAATGCTCGACGATATATTTTGTCGCATTAGCACTCAATTTGGGCTGGTCATTTGCATACCGCGCGCGCGTCTTTTCCTTCTTACACTGCGAGGAGTGAATGTTTGTTTTTGCGAGCGCGCGGAAAGAGACGAAACAAAGAGCGCGGGAATGTTGTTTTGAGCATCTCTTTCTTTTTTCCGCGAGTTGTGTTCATTGTCAAGTTGGTTGACGCTCGTGCTCATGAAAACCTGATGCAATAACATTGACTCTCTCGCGCGGAAATTGGCTGGCGGTGTGGTGCATCGACCTTCGCTTTTATATTTCGGTTTGAAAACAAATAACGACACGCACGTTTCGCGAAGCTCATCCCTCGTCACAGATCTCTGCAATTTAGAAATGATCTCGACCGCCGCTTGGAAAACCCGTAGATTATATAGATTGTCGGCAGTGCGCATCAATTTCAAAAGAGTTATTTTTGAAATCTAGAGCATATCAGTTTAATTTTAAACGAACTGCAAAACGAGAAAAGCTGCCGCGTGTAATCAAGTGACTTTAATTGCCGCGACAATCCAAATTGCCGAGTTAAATGGCCAGCCCGACAGCTACACGACTGATAACGATGTGTAATTAAAATGTGCAGTATACTCACTCAGCCATGTTAACGCGCTATCTAGCTTTATGTCGCAGCATTGGTATACGAAACGAGGAGAGACCCTATATCGATATTATCACAGTCTAGCAATCGTCACAAGTTTGGCACACGCTCCAGCGTGCGTCTATCGTTAGCGGTTAACGGCGCGTTTAGCTGGTCCTCGTCGTTTTCATCGTCATCGCGACGCGTGGCACTGATCGCTGTGTTTCCGTCGGTTTCTCGGGTCCATGGACACGCTCTTCCTTTTATGTGCGCGCGCGCGCGCGCGTACAGATCCTTCGCGCCTGTGTTATTATCGCGTTAGCGCGCTCGCGCGGGCTCACTCGCTTAACGACTGCGATACGTCAACGTGCCGCCCGGCCAAGTCTAAAAGCTTTTATATACAACTAAGCTACTCGCTCGGCCGCTCGCTCGCGGCTAGCGTCAACTTTTTTTTTTTCGAGCCGCGGGGTGGGGAGCAGCGAAGGAGCGCGCGCCAGCCGTCGCGGCCACCCGATGACACGCTGCTGCTGCAGCCGCCGACGCGTGGATGCATACGCACTTGTGATGTAATTTCGAGAGAGGCGAATGATCGCCCGCGCGCGCCGTTCGATTATCGCGATTGATTTACCATGCCGTACCGGGGAAAGCCCATCTCGCGCGCAATCTCACGATCCAAATTCTTTGAGCTACCCCTTTTCTTTCGGGCACTTCCGCCTTGGCTGTTCGCTAGCAGATTTGTGTATTATTCTCCGAAACAACACCGGTTTCTTCATTGAATAAACGATTCACAGGAGATAGTGTGTATCTCTGTGAATGCTATTGATAAAGATTTTTTCTAAACTTAGGATCATACATTGATTTTACTTTGTTTTTTAAAAAAAAGTAACTGTCTTTATCTTTCGAATTTTCATAGTCTTTTCAACGTGATAACATTATTTGTAATGTCTCTCTGAATAATCAGGAAAAATTAAGTAGTCCTTTATTTTTTTTTTTTTTTTTGGGGAAACAAAGTAAGGTCTCATTTGCTTGTATGATTTCTATTTTTAGCGTAAATTTTAAGAAGTGTAGACATCATTTATACTTTTCGATCCTCCCATTTTCGATACAAAACTATTCGGTTTTAGAAACCTCGTACTATGTTCATATATCGTGAAGAAAGGTATTTTTAGGGCAAAATAGTTCTTCGAACTAAATGACCTAAACGGTTTTACCATGTGAAGAATGATACCCAAAATCCGACGTTTCGTGATCTTATTATGAAATATAACAAGAGTTCTTCCGCTAACAAAATTATTTTTGCCAATCAGTTTTTCAATTTTGAAATCCCGTGTTGAGATGAAAACATCCCTAATATTTATATATTGTTACTAACAGCTAAGTTTAATTTTCTTTTTCATGTACACTTAATGTTTAAAACAATGGTAATTGTGTAGAATGTTATGAAAAAATGATAGAAAAGGAGATAAAATGGTCTCTTAAAATGTGTAGTTTTAATAAATATTCTTAAAGTATTGCTAACCTAAATACCTTAATTAATCGTTGTCAAATCAGTTTTAAGATCTTAATAAGCACACAATTTCGAGAATTGTATCTTTTTGAAGACTATCCAAACAAACCAAAAATTAAAAGATGTTTTTACAAATAAAAATTGTTCTATATTCGAATGCTTTTAAAATTAGTTTGATGAAACAAAATTGAACATACCATGGCCTAATTAAAGTTCTCAATAAGGTAAAAAATTTGCTATGAATGTATTAGCAATTGACAAAGCTGTGAGTCTTTCGATTATTTTGAAAGATGACAAATTTTGATTTTTAAAACGGGAGGCCGACATGAAACATGGTATGATTTCATAGAAAGGTCAATATGCCGTGCTACAAATGATTAGCTGATTCCAGTCAAGTTTAACGATAAGGCGGCTGTTTTGCCCCAGCTTCCCTCATGTTCTTTATTAGAGGCTAAATTTTGTTTTACCATATTGTTAATATCGATTGAATTTTGAGCTTGACGCTTTCATTTCAATTTTCTATTCAATTTATCACCTGCCAAGATACCAGAAATATCAAAAGTCCATCTTTTTTTACGTCTAATGTGCCAATAAAATTTTTTAAAGCGAAAGATCACTGATATATCGCTTTAATTCATCACAATGACTTGTACTCATCGATAAAAGTTTCTCTTTGCCACCAGTGTATACAATACGATAATTTATCCAGAACAAGGCTCGAGGAAGGCATGTGACTCGAAAAAAAAAGAAATCAGATCATGAAATCTGCAGTGAAGAGTTGTAATTATCCGACTTCAGCAAAGATATTTACGAATATAAAGGCGTGTGCAAACAAGTAAATGACTGAAAAATTCACGTATACACAAATACATTGTCACGGCGATGGACAAATAACGCATTTTTATTAACTTATCGGCATTTAGCAGATAAGAACGAGTGATTAGATGGCTGTAAAAGGTGAAGAAAACGCACATACAGTTCCGTGCGAAGTTCGCCAACGCTATTGGTGTCTGTTGACTTCACTTCGCTATCACCTCTACCGCGGACAATTCACTCAGTCCACCTCCAGATTAGCTTATCAGATGGCTTTTTTCTTCTAAGATGCCCGTTCTCTGTCCGTTGTTAATTCACAAAGGCTTCACTCGGAGACGCCGCTGATTCGTCGCACTCGTATTGATTGAACGTTTGATCGATCACACGCGCCATGCGCCAAAAGAAGGATAATCTTGCGTAGATGAAATGTATGTGACACTTACCTAAAGATCGATTCGGTGCACCCCGAGGTACTTGGAAAGGTCTCGTAGCTTCTGTGCTTTGGCATCTTGACCAATGATCCACCGCTAGGCGTTTGATAGTTTTAAGAGCGTTGAACGTACAACCGCGAATCGTATTATTTGTTCTGTGTCCCTTATCTGGCCACAGTCACGAGTCTTTACTATCAAAGCAAAGTCATGTGCTTCATCGTTACATGTACATGTATATTTTTTTCCTTTTAATAGCAGCTATAGCGAGTACACACATGTGCAGTCTCTGCCTGGGCGTGCAGTATGTCATGCGATGCTGCTGCCTCTACGTCTGGCGTAAGATTGCTCGTTTCGCTGAAAAGACAAACGCGTAACTTTTCTTCATTTTGATTACAGTCAAATTTGCTGTGTCTCAAATTAACGTTTACATTAGTATACCATTTCAATTTGTTATTCAACTGAAGAAAATGTATAATCCTGTTAATGCGCAAATGTTCTGTGTGTCTTTTTTTCATACAAATATAAGAATCGCATGTACCACAATTTTCTTATCTTAATTATTTCACTTGCGATTATGAAATATTCCTTAAGGCATATAGGAATAGACAGGGTAAATACGTAACAAAAATCATCTGCTTTACTTTTTAATTATTTATGATTTTTAAGAAAACAAAATATTTATATTAAGTTGAAAATTTTTACTAAACTAAATTCCAAAAATACTTTTTAAGATCAATGTGCATCCCATATTGAGACATATGACAATTTTCAATAAAAATATTTGAATATCTGATTTACGTCTTACTTTATGGAATATTATTTTACAAGATGCTTAGTCATTTTACGTGCTTATATCTTAATTATAGTTAAGACAGTTATCCTGATCCTTTTCATTGTGCAATCCGTTAGCATGTGGTATTTGTAATAATGTAACTTCATTTAATATGCCTCCTAACAATTTAATTTTAGAAACGACATTTTGTAAAAATTATAAAAAACGAGTTTGCACGTGATTCTGTAACTTACTGTTGTACTAAACAATTTAGAGCTTTCATTATTTTGACATCCCGTCAGAAACATCAGTGGCTGTAAAACAGAAAAATTTAATTATTTTTGTAAAATCTGATTAGTAAAGTATTTAATAACTTTTTTACTGTTTAAGATTAAAGATTACATTGAAATTAAAATTATTTCGGTAATTATTTTTACGTTCACTATTTGAGCGTTAACGCATATTTGATTTATGCACTTTTTTGCTGAAATAAAAATCAAATTTTTATTTTAAATTTGTAATATACACGTTTGATTTTTTAATTGTCTCATTTTTTTGAGATGGCGCGATACGAAACTGCATTTATAGCTTACTTTTTAGTAAAAACCAGTAATATATTATGATCTATCGTAATTAAGTGCCAAATTTTTCTAAAAATATAATTATTTGAAAGAAATAATTACTAACATTTCGTTTAAGATTATTGGTTAATTATTAGGCCCAAAAAATTACTCTGCAGTGTTTTCGGATTTTTGTGTAGTTGTTAAATTGTGTCTAACTATTATTGATATTAAAAGCAGCTCGCAAGTTGGTTTTCTTGAAAGGTTTGGCATATTTGATTGTTTCAACTATATTATATTATTATTATTATTATTATTATTATTATTATTATTATTATTATTATTATTATTATTTTCTCAGCTGAACTCAAATATTGAGTACATAATATTAATAATAAAAGTAACTCAGGTATGAGAAACAGCTCTTATATATGGATATTCAAAATATTGACAACAGTAAGCGCTACATTGAAAACGATGATGTTATTTGTAATGTTATTCAAGTCCAGAAAACTATCTAATTATTCAATATTCGCCTATTGATGAAGCAATGCGTAAAGTAAGGCGATCCATTGTTATTGTGCGATCTCATAACGTGGATTCGAGCAGACATTACATTGGAATTTATAATCTCACAAACACGAATGAACGTATACATATACATTATACGGAAGCTTTATTGAATTGTAATCGCATGACACGTGACTTGTACAAATACAAAGATTAATCTTATGTCACGGCCCGCATGGTGACATGATAAAAATAAAAATCTCCAAAGGGCGTTAAAGTATGTACACACTATATTGAACATACCTATATACGGGAGCCTTAATGTTTATCGCAGCTTGACGTCTCAATTGTGCATGAATAGGATTCGTGAATCAAACAATTCGTGATTATTTGCTAATATTACAATTTCTGATGAATTTTAAGCCTGAACTTATGCAATCTTTTAACCTTTGTTGAAGCAACTGCGATTTAGTAAATACTAGAAGAATCTCGAAGTTCAATTTACATAACAAGTATTTGATAGATTCAAAAGTTCAAGATGGATACAACAAAAAATTTTCAGTGAAAAGTCTTTCACACTGTTTTATATATAAAGTGCAATATATAATGAGATCATTCTTTTATTCGTTCACTGACAAACTTTAATTTACTATAATTCGATTAAAAATATTTTGGAACATCGATGTTTATCAAAAAGATTTGCAAACAAGATTTGCAATCGAAATTATTCAATTTACTATAATAATAAATGTTTTACCTGCAATAATCAAGCGGCCACCTTTCATGCAAGATGAGAGATATGGGCCCATGTGTCATGCGGCACGTGATCTGATGTATTTGTATATCCTGTATACCTATACGTATGAACCTAAGCTCAAATCATATGACTTGGTAATCTTACGTGATATCCGCAGTCTGGATCAATGTTTGCGTAACTTTATCTCTAATATATAAGAAAGAAATTTATATATTATAATAAATGTTTAAATGAAATTGAACACTGTATATAAATTGTTGTTATAATTACATTATACGTAATTTTTTATTGATATGTATGAAAAAATGTATAAAAATATGTGTTTTCATTGTAAAACTTTACAAAATTAGCGATATTATTTTGTCACTTTAGTACATTATATCCTTTTATATTATTTGTAGTATGATAACATTAAATATTGCTGTATCAAATAACTCAGTTGAAAAGATTACTTAAGCGAATTAATAATGCTAACTAGCACAAACTGATCTAATATGTAAGGTCATTGTTTTTGGCACATGTACTCGTTACTTTGTTAAGTAAGTCCATTTTTCTTCTATTAATAGCAGTCATTGATTATAACAACAATTAATGCATATTACACTAATTTTGTTTTAGTAATTGCGAAAAACATTTTAAAAAATTAAATATTGATCATATAACATATTAATAGATTGATTTGTTGTTTCATGCAAGTTGCGTTGCATAATACTATTTAACTTTTTAAAATAGTTTTCCTTTATTGTCGCTAACTATTGTATATAGTTAAATAAAAAAGTATATCTGTATACTTCCATTGTTCAGGCAACAATAAATTTGATTTCGCCCGATGTCTAACACGCAAAAAAAAACTAATAGCAAATTTGTTACTTGCGTAGTCCGACTGAATTTCAGTATTGAAAACTAAACACTTAATGTATCTGATCCGAGAACACACATCCAAGATACTAAGTATACATCCTATCGTTTCAATATCTAATCCTTTCACTGAGTCAATGCGCTCTAGTACATATACGAGTAAGAAAAGAGACACTCTGTGGTTTTGTCCCACTGAGAAAATTGATCAAGGGCATCTGGTGCTAGATGACATTTACAGTAAGCTAAAACAGTTTTGCGTATGCTGCGCCAATTGACACTACATTATGTGCACAGTTGCCATTTTGACAAGCCTCAAACACGCTTGAAAAAACATCCGGCCTGTAATGACTAATTCGACTTTAGTATGCAAGAAATAATCGATGATAAATGTCATTCCCTAAAGTATGCGCATCTGCTTTGTTTGTTGACATGATTATGCGGGATTTCGCGCCGCGTAGTCATCAGCGCGTGCTTGAGTTTGCGCATTTCGGAGGAAAAAACACTTCATATGAATATCAGAATAATGATAAAAAAGAATATTGCTTCTGAGATATCTTTGGTTTCGATAGATAAGCAACGAATTTTGCATTATTGTTTTTATTTATTACACGAACGCGAAGCTATTGTCATGGTAACGCACGTGACTGATACGTGAACTTCACATGTGTTTTCATCATTTCTAATTCTCAGTACTTCATACATGTTCGTTGTTTTGTAAAAAATGTTTAATTTGTATAAGATTGTCTACTTTATTTGATATACGTCTAGAAGTTACTGCATCATATCAATTGTCGATAAACTGCCCACATTATTTTGCCTCTTTATTTACATTTAGTGTGGCATCGATAAAAATTCAAAATTTCATATGATGATAAAAAGTGTAACTATGCTCATTTAATCAACAAAAATCAAAGTGAAACTTATAGAATATGAAAAAAAACAAATATAGATAGAAAATAAATTATCAAGCATCGCGCGGAGAAACGCAAAAAAAAATTTTAAATCATTTATGTACATGACCTTTCTGCATCGTATAATTGAGTCTACAATAATTTCATCGAGACAATCCACGCAAATGGAAAAGCACTTTTTGCTGCATATTAGTAATGTATTCACAATTTGAATACCCTTGAGATTCATTATAAATAAAGATATCTTCTTTTACAACTAATTAACATTATATGAATTTATTTATTTACTTTATTTGTTATAAATAATCTCTGTGCTTTTTACTTAATAAGTGATATAGCTTTTGTTTCAAACATTTTATTTTGCATCTCTACTGTATATTCCAAACTATCTAAAAGCAATTAATAATTTGATTATTAATTTAAATTTAAATTCATTATATAATTCAAGTTTACACCTTCACTATCAACTTGGTTAAAAATTTATATATCATAAATTTATATAAGTATCATAAAATTTTAGCTTCAAATTAAAAATAGTAAAAGTGGTGTTGGGTTTAAAATATTGAATTTACAATTACAAAGACTTTAAGAGAAATAATTCATTAAAAACATAACTTGCTGGCGGGTATCTGTCAATTTTATTTAAGGCACGTACACTTCAGACATAACAAGATAATATTGTATATTTTTGTCGTCACATTTATGTCTGATAACTGTATGATTATTACATAGTTTATATAATAAATTCAATGGTACCTAATTTTATATAATTATGTATTTTTTGAAATTATTTATAGGTTCGTAAAAATGAATTTTCATCTTATATAGGTAATTTTGTAATGATCAAAATCAAAATTCTTATTGTTATTTTATATATTAATTATGATCACAAAAATAGAATTTGATTTAGGATATTTCAATAAAATATTATCATTGCTTCAGGTTCTTTAAATAATTGCTTTATAACAAGTGGCGCAGTCTTCAGTAAAAATGATGTACTTACGAAACAAGCTTAAGCATACAAGTCGTCGGTAACATAGTTATTGATTATTTCACATTAATCGATCGATCGTATCCTACACTTGAACAAAAATTGAAGACAATTTTTTAAAATCTGAATCTTACTAAAAACATAGATATTTTTATAAGAAATAAATTAAATTCATGAATTAAACGTTATATTTATATATGTACATGTATGTGTATATGTGATACACTAACAAATTTTCAAAATTTCAAACAATGAAAATAAATAACAAACTCTGACGAAGTTGAACTATAGTCCCTGTACGAGCTAGTTTTTTAACTTTGAATATTCTTATCCTTTCAAGTATTCAAGTTTTATATGCATGGAGAAGAAATGGAAAGATAATAACACGAGATGATCCAAATATAGTAAAAAATGTGCCTAATATATTAATTCTCTTTTGAAATTAATCTTTCGTCAATTACGATTACTCTTAAAGATACAATTTTGCATATAGACTTATCAAGTTATTTACTTTTTTTTTTAATATCTATTACGATTTCATCAACAACGGTGTTGTAATCTATGAGATAACTGTTAAAGTTTGATTTAATTTCAAAGATTGAGTTTAGGGAAGTGATCTCTTCAATACAGTTAAGTAGAATGTTTTTCCTTTTACATTTTTTAAAGTTATAATGTATTTTGTTAATAGTCTTATTGATAGGTAGCTTTGTGTTGGATAAAACTTTAGCCAAGTAGTTCATGCATATGTATTTTGCTCTATCTTCGATGTACAAGAGTTTTGATTCGGCGATGAGAATATTAGTGGGGGTACTGATTCGATAACCTAAGATTAGACGAATGACTGCGTATTGGATGCGTTCGAGCTTATTTATCTCGTTTATTCTGTTAGGAAGGTATATAAATGATGCGAAGTCAATTAAAGATCTAATGTATGATTTATAGATGGTTAATAGTGTGCTCGGATCAGCACCCCACCAAGTACCTCGAACAAACTTTATGATGTTGAGAGCTTTGAGACATTTGTTTTTTACGTTTTCTATTTGGCTACGGAAGGACAGATTGTAGTCGAATATTATACCGAGATATCGTGCAGATTCTTTTGAAATAAGAATATCGTTATTGAATTTGACTTTCGTTTTACCAGGTTCAATTTTTTTTTATTAATTTTGGAAAAACTCTTAAAAATTTTAAAGATCATGAGATTCTAATCAAATCCTACATAGAGGAAAAAAATGCCGTACCTATATATACCGACGGTAGCAAGTGTATAGATGCCAACTCAGTTGGAGCAGCATGTTTTTCTAATCAGTTAGGCATATCTATCAAAAAAAGTATTTGTACACACGCATCTATATATACAGCCGAAAGTTTTGCACTTAAAACTGCGCTCGATGTAGCACTACAAAATACGGATAAAAATATTATTATTTTCACTGATTCTCTAAGTGTTTTTGAAAAACTCAAAAATCTAAATTTTGATATTAGAACAAGCTCCATTATATATGAATTAAAAAAAAAAGCATTAGACTTCGCTCGATATAGCACAAATAATAGTAAAATTATATTTACCTGGATACCCTCACACATAGGAATCAGTGGGAATGAACAAGTCGACCAGCTTGCTAAAGAAGCGTCAAAAAGCTTACCAGATCCCTCTATTTGTATCCCCTTTACCGATCTACGTCAAAAATTTAGATCAGAATCAAACGCTACATCCGACAATACAGTTAGAGAATTAGGATTAACTAAAGGTATAGATTACTTCATGTACTACTACACAAATAATAGTAGACCTTGGTTTCATAACTATAATTTAAGCAGAGCCAACATTGTCATGATTAACAGAGGTAGGGCCGATCATTATAATCTTCGCGCCTCACTAGCCAGAGTTAAGCTTATTGATAATCCTATGTGTGAGTGCGAGAGTGCAAATCAAGACTTAAACCATGTACTGTGGCACTGCCCGTTTTATGAAAACCAAAGAAATAAATTAGTCAATAAGCTAAATGAAATTAAAGTTTATCCACACAATGATGTTAAAAATGTACTAACTAACATTAACCCATCTGTATGCAAAGCGTTATACCAGTATGTCATAGAATGTAACTTAAAAATTTAAGATAACCTACTATTATATATACGTCTGTAAATATTAATGTTATATATATATATATATATATATATATATATATATCCCTCTTCTGTAAGCTATATAACCTCTGTAGTTTTAAATAGCAAATAAAAAAAAAAAAAAAAAAAAAGTTATTTACTTTTGTTAGAAAATCTAAAAGTGGAAGGTATTAAAAATAAAATAAAGTATGTAGTTAGTGGTCACGTTTCATATAGCCACGTGTACAGTTATATATATACAATTGATGCTTGTTGTTTGTACCAGAAGCCTGAATAATTCCACGTGGTCGTGACTTGATAAGGTTTCGTCAAAATTATTGCTGCTCTAAACGGATTTCAGTCAGATGCTTTTTAAGGTCAAGAGTCACCCTGGTAGTATTAGACATTAGGAAGTGCAGCACGAATGATTTTATCTATAAACGCGTACAATTCCACGTGGTAGTGACTACGTAAGGTTTCATCGAAACAATCGCCACTCTAAACGGATTTAAGCCAACTGCTCTTTAAGGTCAAGAGTCGCCTAGTCAGACAGTATTCGACATTAGCAAGTGTCGCACGAATGATGGATTTTACCCACAAACGCGTACGGCAAATACTCTCCTCGATCCTCAAGCTTGATGACGAAGATATAGAGTTGGACGAAGAAGTTGTATCAGATGAAGATTAGTGCGAAACGTTCTTAAATAAACTTACGCGTACCTGATATTAAACTTCCGGTTAAATATCTTTGAATGATTCTTGAGTTCAAATATCACATTGGAAATATATTATTTGAATAAAACTGTTTGCAAGATTAAAAGTTTTCATTCGCGAAAATGAATTTTTTACGAAGATCGTTTTCCAGTAATGACATCAGTACGAAAAATTTTAATGTTATTGAAAGTTTGTTGGATGGAAGTAGTTCCAAATTGAAAGCTTCAAAAACAATAAATTTTCAAGTAAGTTCATCCGGTACTATCTCTAAAACTTAAAAAAAAAAAGGTTAAACCAAATAATGATTATGTGGATAAAAGAATCAAACTATTCTTTAATTAGAACAATTATATTTTTGTATTCTAGATAGATGAAAATATTAAATCAACTCACAACGTACATAATAGCGATTCTAACCCAACCAAGGAACCTGTTGATTATTATCCAAATCTTGATGCATCAGTTTGGATGCGATCATGTGAACATGAAGTAATAACTCCAATTACTGGCATAATTTCTGGATATGTTCCTGATTGGTTAAAAGGTTCACTTTTGCGAAATGGACCTGGCAGTCTGAAAGTTGGTGATTACAGATTCAATCATTTATTTGATAGTTCAGCCTTATTACACAGGTAATATTGTGAATCTTTTGAATAAAAAAAGTGAAGCATAAACAGTTTCTGACAAAATTGTATTTAGACCAGTTATATGAAATTACGTAACTTGTAAAATATACTCTTTTCGACACTTCGTGGGCAAAGTGCGTCTCTCCCGCACGCTCGGCAGAAAACGTGCGTTGAAAATCGCAGTTTTCATACGTCGTATAAAAAAATACGAAACGGCACATATGCTCGCTTCGCTCAGGCGTAAACGCCACACGAGGCAAGAATCTACTTTTCCGCACTTGTATCGTAATGTACTATTGTTTCATGTTGTTCTGTAAACCTATTTGTAGTATTTAAATTGTCTTCCGTTATTTCTGTTAAAATAAAAATAATATGTTTATTCAGAAATTGTTTGTTCTTTATTGTATAAAAAAGTTTTTCTCACCGACGTAATTAAATATTAAAAATAGTTCTAATAAGCTAATCACTATTGATAGATTTGAAATCAATAATGGTAAAGTAACTTATCAAAATCGTTTTGTCCAAACTGATGTGTACAAAATGAATCATGCCGCAAAAAGAATTGTTGTTACGGAATTTGGAACAAAATCAGTACCAGATCCTTGTCAAAGCATGTTCAACAGGTAATAAAACATAATTTACTATTTTGCATTCAATGAGAAATTTAGGTGGCATTACTAAAGCCGATGGTTCTTTTAGGATAGCGTCTGTTTTCAGGCCGGCTTCATCGGATAATTCAATGATATCCGTTTATCCATTTGGTGACGAATACTACACGTTCACTGAATCCCCTGTTATACACCGTATTGATCCAATATCATTAGAAACCTTAGATAAAGTAATTTTTACTATTGTAATTTTTTTTCTCTCGTACATTTTAATTATAACAAAACGTAAAACTAGATTAGAGTACTAATAAACAAAATTTAATCTATTAACTGTTAAATACACATTGCAGGTAAACGTTGCAGATTACATTAATATCGTAAGTCATACGTCGCACCCACATGTTCTAAACGATGGCACCGTTTACAATTTAGGTATGAGCATAACTAAGATAGGTCCAGCTTATAGTATAATTGAATTTTCACCGAGTAGTTTTACACAAGGTCAGGTTTATTTTCCATTACACAATAATCTTATTTACAATCGCTTCTGAACAACATTATTTTTTTATTTAGAAAATAATGCAAAAAAAATGAAACTGTCTATGTTTGAACAAGCAAAGATTCTTTCAACAATACCAGCTCGATGGATTTTCAATCCATCTTATATGCACACTTTCGGAATCACTGAAAATTATTTCATCATAGTAGAGCAGCCATTATCATTAGCAATACCTAAATTATTAACAAATCGATTAAAAAATGAACCAATGAGTGCCTCTTTCAAGTTCCATGAAAAGGAAAAAGTAAGAAATATACCATTTTTTGTTTTAATTGTTTTATAAAGAATCAGTAGTATAATTTTTTTTTCTACAAATTTAGACACATATTCATCTTGTTTCTCGTGAATCTGGAAAACTTGTACAAACCTTTATAGCCGAGAAATTTTTTTATTTACACATAATTAATCAATATGAAACACGTGATGGAAACTATTTAGTATTGGATATATGTTGTTACCGTGATGCCAAAATGTTAGATTGCATGTACGTCGATATGATGAAGGTATTTTCTTTTAACTTTATATAATTAAAGTTGGTTCAAAATAAAGCTACATTTTCATGATCTTTTTTTTCAGAATGTACATCAAAATCCAGATTACTCCAAACTTTTCCGAGGTCGACCTCTCAGATTTGTTATGCCTCTAAAAATGCCAGAAGCTAATACACCTCTCGATCTCAATTTGATAAGAATGGAGAACGTTTATCACAGATCAAAGACATGTAAAAGTCGAATCAATAGTACAAAAATTACGAAAAAAAATATAACGGAAGAGCATAATAGTAAAAATAGGAGCAATATAAAATTAAATAATCCACTTCAAAAGAAAGCCCAAGCTTTTAGATTGTCAAATGGTAGCATTTTTATTAAGCCTGAATTACTCTGCGATTTAGGTTGCGAGACTCCTAGAATTAATACTGAATCATATCTTGGTAAAGAATATCGATATTTTTATGCCATGTCTAGTGATGTCGACATTGAATATCCTGGAACAGTGGGTATTTTTGCTTTCAGTTTTTATTAGTTAGTTATTAAATGAAATATAATATATTATTTTATATTCGTTTTAAGATTATTAAAGTAGACACAAAAACCAAAACAAAACAAGTTTGGTACGAAAAAAACATCTATCCTAGTGAGCCAGTATTTGTAGCTGACCCAAAGGGAACGGTAATATTATAATTATCTGCTACGAAATACGAAATTGTTATTATTTTATATAACTAATGTAATTTCTGTTAGAATGAAGATGATGGTATTGTTCTCAGTGCACTTGTCTGGGGTCAAGAACGAGAAACGGAAGTTGGACTTTTAATTTTAGATGCTAAGACTTTTGAAGAATTAGCCCGAGTTACATTTCAAACGCCTAGTCCAGTACCAAAATGTTTGCATGGATGGTTTAGCAATGCTGTCTCATAAATTATATTGGCTTAAAAAACAGTCTTCACCAAATATAAAAGATTTTTTTGTTTAGTTCAAGTATACTTACTGTGGTACGCATGAATAAGTATATTAATAAGGACATCGATATTAAAGGTGATTGATTTATTTTTGTACATTTTATACATGGTGATTTGTAAAATATACTATTATATATATTATACTCTAATGTTAGGATAAATTTATTATTATATTTTCAAAGGTTCAAGGTTCATGCACATAAAGCTGTTGATCATGAAGGAAGGTCGTCTAAAAATTTTATTATAAATGGTAATATTTTTAATACATCATGCATAATGCTTTCATGATCAATACCCCTCCTTGTCATGAAAATATTGACCATGTATAAAAATGTTATTTAATAAACTGTCTTGCTGTTAGCTACTGTGAGTAATTATGAGTAACACCGTACTGTAAGTAATAAAGTGAGAGATGCCAATAACAGAAAATAAGAAACAACAACTATATAGAACAGAAAGAAAAAGGAATGATCATAAAGTGCCGTTGATTAAATAAAGATTTGATTGATTTGTACATTGCATTCAAAATTTTCATAAATAACATTTACAATTTTTTTAAAAGAAAGTTGCGGATAAATAAGATTAATTAAACTCGCAATCATTGTTTATCAATATATTTTATTTCTAAATATAATAAGTTATTGAATTGATTATCTTTCAAATAACACGATATTTACAATTTATGAATAAGGAAGAAAAGCATCACATATCTCACTATAATAATAATAATTTCAATTTCAAAAGGATATTTACAAAATTGGTGAGCTTATTCTTGATGGAATGTAAGACGCACAATTACACTCATTCAAAACTTATTTAATAATTATGCGCTTAAATTATATAATATTTAAAACAGCGATGGAAACCAGCATCTTGTTGGAGTTTCAGTAATTTTGTTCTGTTTTACAAATTTATGAATTTCATTCAATAGCAACGTATACAAATAAATAACAATTTTAGAATTTTACTTGAAAAATAAAACTCTTAAACATTACTTTGAAAATACAATTGTTTTAGGAGACATATAACAATGAAAAACAAATGTCCAAATTATAACACTATTTATAACGAAACATTTAACTTTCTAGAAAATATAACAACGATGCTAACGATTAAGAAGTTCGGTATTTGGACATTTTTTCAATTTCCCTAGCTCTTATTTTAACGTGATGGATAGCATTATATCAAGAGAAGTTTAGTTGAATGAATTGATTATACTCTTAAAATAGTAATAGCTCAATCATAAATTTTATATGTGGCTACATTTCTCTTAAATATACCAATATATTTAAGAAGATATTTCAAACCAACGTACGTCAAATTTAATTATTACTAAGCTATAACATTGAAAAAATTGAAAATTCTTTGTCGTAGTGTAAATAGAAATGTAAAAAATTGGCTTCTTTACAGCAATTTGTGAAACTGAAATTACGCAAATACGGTCACGTAATATCGTCACTCTTGCTTCTAGATTATCATAACTACTTGTTTTATTATTCTTAATGATCAATAACGCGACCTGTTTGATGCATTACAGGACGTCGCGTTTACTATCAAATATGCTTCTAAATGAATGTTACTTAAAAAGTTTTCATTTTCTACAAATCGATAGTAGCTGCGATATTTAAGCTAGTTTTAGCAATGATGGCATTTCGTTTGTTTGTGCTTTTGAACCGTTACAATATTGATCAAACATTTTCAATTATATGTGTCATTTATGCATTGTTTAAGTACAATGAAAATGAGAGAATACATTTTAAATTGATAAGCCCGACAATGCTATATAGTATGATCAATGACTCAAAAACATATGAAAAACTTTAAAAGTCCTCGACAAAAGTCTCCTTGTATATAGATTCAAACGTAAAAAAGGCATCGCTTGAGTCATATATCGAGTGATCGATGCAGCGAACACTGCTTAGCATGTAACTCATGACGTGTCATCTCAATACTACAATATGAAAACCAAACTGGAAATACCATCTGCGTATCGCACTTCTCCTTTGAACATTCTTAACGCAAGCTCAACAGGACAAAAAAAAACAAAAGGAAATCTCTCTCTAACAATAGTATAATAGTTACAGGAGGTCGCGCCGCGTGCAGCGACACAACTATCACAATCGGTTCAACAACTTTTCGATTATTTAAGCTCAAAGGCAAAATCAAAAAGAGCAATGGTGACATTTCAAGCCTTATCAATTTTTTCCGTTTCGTCGGCGTTGCTTGAGTTCACCTGATCGATGAGCGTCGAGTTGACGCTATTGCTGATGGGCGTTTCGATGCCCGATTCAGCGTCGCTACTTCTGCCTATACTCGATTCCGACACCGTTGCATGCGTATTGTCACCGTCGAATTGTAGTGGCAGGGCACCCGAATTGGCGTCTTCGATTGCCTTGCGAAGCTGCAATAAAAATGTCAATGTTTAATTTAGATCGGAACAGGATAGAGAAGAAGAAACGACCTAAAATTGTTACAAGTTCTGACCTCCTTCAATCCAACGACCCCGACTAGCCTGCCGATAGCCGTGACGTAAGCGTGATTAACACCGACCATGCTGAAGAGACTGTGCACTTTGAGTAAAGATGTCCTTTCGACGAGCTGGAACGGCGCCGGATCGATGTGACAGCGAGAAAAGTCCACTTCCAGTGCCATCTCGCTTTCCTCCCACTGCTTTTGGTCCTCCGGAGACATATCGATCACGCGTTCACGGGGCTGTGAAAATAAATCGCTTTGAAATCCTGCACGGTTGTGCACTTCGAAAGACGTTGAAATGTCGTTTTAGGATCGTTAAAGAAAATAAATGATAAGCCCTTGTGAACGTCGAATGGCAATATTTCGATTTTTGAAAAATGTACCAATTGCACTTTCTTAGACGTCGCTGGGCTTGACGACAACATTGGTTGATGTGCACCGTCGACACTGTCACGACGTCCATTAGTCATAGTACCGGATCCAAGCTCTGGGTCGGGATCGACATCTTGAAGGGTCGTTGATTTCCGGAAAATTGCTTCAAACGCTAGCCTTATTCTGATACATTGGAAAAATTACAAAGAAAGTCCAATGATTATACCGATATGAGAAAACTTATCTACCTGCTCTCGGCACCGGTAACTGTAGTGTACGGCGTTACAGCTGGACTGACCAGAGGACTGAAGCCTTTAAGAGTGAACGAATTAGTTTTTTTGAGAATGGATTTTTTCGGCTGGCTGCCGAACACTGGGGTATGAAACGTGTGCTGAAATAATTTAAATGAATTATTAAAAAATTTCAAGTCAGTGACAATGTAAAGCTTCTTAGTATATCTTACATGATCCGAGTTGACACCAGACATTGTCAAATCGGTGACACTTTGTCTCTGCATCTTTAAGATGTCGGGCGCTGGTATTACTTCAAATCTTGAGGGTCTTCGGGACTTTTCCTCTCTCATTTGTCTCTCTTTCTCTTCTTTTGCTCTTTCTTCAGCTTCTTGATGCCACTTTTGAGCGACCTAAAAACACATTCGTTTCAATTCATGCCTCTTTTCATTCTTTTCTACTGAAATGAACATTAAAAATATAAATTACCTGCAGTCTCCTTTCTCTACCTATATGTTTTTCAATGAGTTTGATAAGCTCTAGCCTCTGTATGGATCCAAGTAAGATCATAGAATCCGGATGATCGACTAAAGGAAATCCACGCAATTTCCGGTTTTCCTTCAGTATTTCTTTTAGCCTCTGATATGTGATCCCGTGCCAAATGTATCTGACATCCCTGACCATGAAGTCTTCTACGTAAATATTGTACATCCCTGGAAAAAGTTCAGAATATCGTAAGCTCAACCATTTGACAAATGGTACAAAGAAGCTGATTTCTAAAATTCGAGTCTTACCAAGTATTTTCCTATAACTTGTGAATGCAAGAAATGTAAAATTGTTCTTTTTAAATTTGCTTCCAAAAGCTTACATAAATCTAACTGATTTGTTTCGTAACTACGGAAATGAAAGAATGAAAAAAAAACTAATAATATACAGACCTGAACCCGAAGGTAACAGATCCGGTAAATAAGGGAGCTTCTTGATGAGTATGATGCTATCGTAGATGCTCGGTTGCAGGAGCGCAGCTACAGCGTTGCTGATCAAGACGGCTATCATCATCGGCACGATGTGCGTGATCTGTCCCGTCATCTCGAATATGATCACGCTCACGGAAATTGTGTGGGTAACCGCGCCGGAGAATGCTGCTGCTCCGACCGTCGCGTATCCACCTGTGAATCGACAATAGGGAAACACGCGATTGTTACGAAAGGTCATTTGAGCCACGTGGGCTTGTACTCCTCTTTGGATCAATTTCAGGAATACTCGGTTGGATTTTCAAATACGATTTGTAATTTATTTGAGTGAGATTGTACGGGAAGGCAAAAAAATACGTAATCGTTTAAAGCAAGTATAAAAAGTCTGTAGTGCAAAAAAATGGCTTTCTCTCAAATATGGGGTTCATTCGACTAAGTCGTAGAGAACTGCAGCTGACATACCTGGCACAATAGGCGTAACGATATACCCGTATCGTACGCCATTTGGGAATTGCAAAGCCATAGCTTCTCCGACAGCACGACCGAGAGCAGCTCCGATTTTGAAAACTGGAATAAATATTCCGGAGGGGACTGGCACAGTGGAGCTAATGATGGAAAATATGAACTGAAAACGAACATATTGTTGGTAATGCTTGCAAACGACGAGGAGGATTGTTACGTTGTCTTAAGATCGAAGTAGAGAAGCAGCGTACCGTGAATGCAGTGAAGCTCATCAAACCAGTAAAAATATCAGTATGTTCGGTCGACCAATGCTTCACGATGTTCCTCTCCTCCACGTTTAGGTTATCTTTGGTCCACGAAAAGTTGGTGAATAGCCCGTGCACTTGATCATGAGTATTCAAGTCGCCGGCCATGAATTGGCCGAGACCCAGAGGGAATGACACCGAGGACACGAGCAGCGACACAATGCCAGGGTAGAGAAATCGGCTGAAAAATCAGCGCTTCTGTTACTTATGCTATTTTCCAACTCTTACGCTTGTGTCAACTGGACATTTTCATGAAAATATTAATAAATTCGATAGTCACACAAACAATACAAGTAAGAGTTTTTATTTGTGAAAATACAAATTTCGGCTTTGAGAGGGTTTAGCAAAACAAAGCAAAACTTGATGTACTCGTAACTAATACGAAAGATGATTTTTAGAATCAATTGAAATTCTGTTTTCGGTCAAAGATACATAAAACGGGAATGAGAACTCACTTTTTCTGAAGAAAACTGTTCATACTCTTGTTTTTGCGCATGAACAGAACATACTGTCGATGCAGCCACACATAAAAAGCCCCGCCAAATCCACTTCCAACGCCAATGAGAGCAAACACGAATAGCTCCTGAGGATCGAATGGAAACTCCATGGTGAAGTTAGTGACGAACATTGCGGTAATGGTCTCCTCTCGTTGAAACCAAATAGCAAGTAGCCGAAACATCGTTGCACCGCATACGGCGGTAAAGAATCCACGCCAATAATTGCGCACGGCGAAGTAGACGGTGGTGACCTCGATGCTAAACAATACGCCGCCGATCGGGGCGGCGAAACACGAAGCAACGCCGACTGCACACGCCGCTGCCAACATCTCGCAATTGCGACTCTCGTTCTCATAGATGCCCTGGAAACTCGTCACCAGCTTCGATAATAGCGTTGCCGCTATGCTGGCGATGTGTACGAATGGACCTGCGGCAGATTGGATTTAGACTGAGCTTCGTTCACATTTCTTATTTCTAATGGATCATTTCTTTTGCTTTTCTCGGCCACGAAAATTTCAAGTGCAAAAATTCATTTACGCCTGAATGATTCTTTTATTTTCGAGACGGCTGAAATTTAATGAGCGCGAATACCGGAAATTTCGCGGAAAACGTTGTAAAATTTCACATAATCTTTTGATAGATTTGGCTAGAATACAAAATTCAAAAATTTGTGGCGCGCTATTGCATCGAGTATCTATCTAATAAATCTCTCATTTATTTAAATTTTGGAGTTGCTGAAAAGTGTAAGCAATAAATTCTGAGTTATGAATGTTTCAAACAATTTTCCAATGAAGCAAATCAATAAACAGCGATAAGTGTTGACAGATCAAAGCGTTCTCGGATACATTGGCGCATTTGTCAAAAAATATATCCCAAGCAAAGGCAAACCTTCTTTTCCAAGCGGCAGCCCCGATCCCAGAGTAGCCGTGAGCCCCACAACTTTGGCAACGAGCGTACGAAAGGTGAGGTATTCCTTGAGCGCAACACCCCTGAGAATGGTTTTCATTTCGGGTATTCCCGAGCCGATGCTCTGTGGTGCGACGATGTGTACGAAACCAGCGCTGAAGAGTATCAAACATACCGGCAAGGAGACCCATGCGAGGTACTGCAAAGCCGGGTGAGATGTCAGGTCTTCATACAGCCATATCCTGGCTGGGGGAAAGAGCAACGATTATTTAAGCCAATCGTAATAGGAGCGTGCTATTACTGCCAGTTCGCTGAATGAAGATGAAGTGTTATGACCTTTCGTTATAGGCTAAGTAATATGAAGTGTCGCTGAAGTTTCTAGATAGTACTTCCTGAGTTACACGATCGTTCTCATGTTTTTTAAAAATAATTTTAAACAATTCAATTAGGTTGCATTCATATCTGTGTTAGCTATAGATAAGTCGATTGCTCTTAGAGATCAAATTTGTGGTTATTGGAAAATTATAGTTCAGTTTGAAAGAGTTTTTAACGAAAATGTAAATAAAATCACGTACAAACTACTGATGTGTCGACAGAAACGGTATTTATTAAAAATAATAACGCGCTGTTTAAAGATTATGATAATGGTTCATAAATCGTTAATACTGGTGGATCAATGATACATGCAATCATGATTTTATCGTGGATCGAAGTATCGGCGATGAACTGGCTATATGTAGTACAAAGTAGCGATTCAAATGAAATCTCGGATGGGGTAAGAAATTGAAATAAAACTGACCGTTATTGCACATGGATATGCCACGATCCATGGCATAACTGATGAGCGCCATGATGATACCGAGTAGCGCGAGGAAAACCCAATCCTCGCCAAGTCGCGCGCCAGTGTGTTTCCAGGCGAAGGCGAGTAGCGCCAGGAACTTGCGACACAGTGGTCCACGTCTGGGCTTACTGAACTCCTCGGAGCGCGCCTTGTCCAATTTCCTTCGCGTTTTGTCGAGTCGCAAGCGTCGGGCCTCTTCTTTCGCATATTCACCGAGGTCCTTCGTGTAGCGGCCATACATCTAATATCCGCAAAACACTCGTTAGGTCAAAATTCATCTTTCGTCGATTCTTCGCACGAGCGCGTGCAAGCTGCCCATTACCTGACACCCGTTCGTCTCATCGGCGTATACGGTTTTGTACTTGAGTAGCGTAAGCATTGCTTTCCTGTGCCGGTACAATCTACCATACGGCGCCCGAGTGCATGCTGCATGCGAATCACGTGCCCGAGGAAAGTTCACTATGGGGACGTATGCGCGCGATCGACATGTAGTTCAAAAAAGGATCGCCGCGCGAGTCTCCTCTTCTCGTCGGTTTATGTAATAGCGACGGATGCATCGTTCTCTCTCTCTCTCTCTCTCTCTCACACACACGCACACTCTCTCCTCTTAACGAAACACAAAAAAGACAAAAAAAAGCCGTTGTCACGAGATAAACAGTCATGTGACGACGAAGTCATTACCGCGAGGAGATAATCGAATTAAAGCGTGCATAATAAGGCGCGCGGGGCAAGTCACGAGTTGCGCGATGCGCGTTCGTGCGATCGATCGTCGGTTACGCCAATTCGCCGCAGCTTCGCGCCAGTCCGTCTTGCCTTTTGTTGCTTCGCGCGACGCGACCAATTCGAGCATCCTCGATCATCTCGAATTGCGCCACGCGACGATCGGCGCGCGACTGCAGGGTGCACGTACGTGCAAGCTCGCGCCCAAAAAGAAAGTAAGTCTCGGCGACAAGGAAATTTACGGAGAAAATTTGCAGATCTGGACGTTATCGCGCTCATATGCTGATAAGGCAAGGTTTGACATTCGGCTACTTGGAGAATTGTCGTTTGATCTATTGGCAGAGAGGATCGTTCACTCTATATCGGAATTGGTGCGGCTTGTATCATCCATCAATTAAGAGCCTCTGCCGAAAGAATTTTTTCGCCGAAATGTCAGCCTTCTACTTTTCTATGTACATTTTGAATTGTTGTACTTCGGCATTCATTCTGTATGTCTATGTTTGCTCCCGACGATTAAATAGATATTACGCCTTGAAACGCATGAGGAACAAAGTCCAATCACGATATACGGAACACAACAAGTATTTTAGATTTGATTGCTTTCACAATTGCTGGTTAAGTATCTACTTAGCACTGATTAAGCCTCGAAGTAGACTAATTATTTTCGGTCGTCACGTCATGCTAAAAAAATCACCGGTTTGTCTGATGGGTATGACACCGGATTATATCGTTCGCTTCGTTGGATTTGGTTTTGCAGGATTCAGAAATATTTGAAAATCTACTAATTTAGTCATACGTTTTCTAACGTAGGAACAAAAAAATGTCGCAGCAGTCTCAGCTCTGCGAACGCCGTACTCTTGTAAGTATACACCCACGATACACGAGCGTAGACCGCGTGAGCGAAATTGTGCAAGAATCGTGAACAATCTATGATTAGGGCTGGCAAGGGAAAATAAAATCTCAAGGCTAGGGCAGAATGTTCGAGGTGCACTTACAACGTAGTCATCGTTGCAGACGAAGTATGATCTGCAGGGATAAGGCAAGTCAGCCTGCATGTAAGAGTTGAAATTCGTTTGATAAAAGCAACGTCTATCTCCGGAGAGTCGCTTTAAGTGACGGACGCCCAAGCGACGAAGATCGGTGATCGTTGCGGCGTTCGCATCTTCGCGCTGACAGGACCGTTAACAATCGGTATACGAGGTCCCCTACACTCGCCACGAACGTCGTCGTCACTTTAACTCAGGTGCGTCGCGAGATTCAAACTGAGCGTCGTTGTCGTGATGTGTGGCGGCTTGGCATTTGAATTTGTTGAAAATTTGGCAAGACTTCTAATAAACTATTTTTAGCCATCTAGCCACAGACTCGGATAGAGACTCGACTTCTGCTCCACATCTCTCTCCGCCTCCCTCGCTCTTATTCTTTCCGCGCCGATGGTCTCTCGTGCGTTCGTGCACTTCGGCCGTAAGTCGCATTGTTTACCCGGCCGAGGGTCCGATTAAAATTCACACCGCTCGCCGTTAGTTTTCAAGATCGCCGCTCGGAGTGCGTTGCGTGTCGGAGCGAAGCTTAATGGCCGTGTAATGCACGCGACACTTTTGTCGAAGAACGAAATAACGGAAAAATTGTTTCGCGACTGCGACAGTTCAGATGCGATGCCTGATCTCCCGCTCGAGAAGCTACTTCTAACTGGAATTTTTAGAAATGCAACCGACAGTTACGATAGCCGGCGTACAATAAAATAGAATTGCGACTTGCTAAAATAAGAAGCCGTTGCGCAATAATTCATACAGTTATTACTTGTACAAAGAGGCAACAACGATGAAAACTCGATTCCTCGATTCCGACAGCGACGACGATTGGTAAGGATTTTCGTCTTTTCCTGCTTTCTTTACATTTGCAACGATTTGATAACGATCGAAGTTGAACTCGTCGAACCTTCGCGAATCGAAATGCCGTAATGTGCATATTAATGTTCTTTCGGATTGTCAACTGGCTTATCGCTCAACGGATTTTTTCCCCGATAAATTGCCGGCGCCGGAGTCAACGATCAACAAGCATGCCGCCGTACCTTTGGTCGTCATTGATCAAGTTGCAGCGAGCCCGAAGTCGATACATCGCCAGCAAATTCGTCGCTGCTTCCGCGGTGCTTATCGTCGACTTTTCTTATCGCCGCGCGCCGCCAAGGGTTCGCTTTTCACGATTCGTACTGCCGGCAACGCGCTCGCCAACGTGACTACCACGCCCGCTCGTTTTGGCAGCATTGATCGCACTTCGATTTCTCAAGATGCATGCCGGCGCGTGTGTCTATTAGTGCGTGCGCGATAGTTAAATATAGGCGTCAGGAGACTTTACTCGATGCCGAGTGACGAGCTAGTCTGCGATTTCGGACGTGCGCTCGAATCGTAATGGTTTGATAGCGCGTGGCTAATGGCTTAGTTCGTAGGTACGCTCGTTTCAATTAATTATATCGATACAAATTTTTATTTTCAAATTTTGCGAAAATTAAATCGTTACTGGTAAGCTTGTTCATTACCAATTGAGCGGGTTTTTCCCTGAAAACAAACATTCATCAATTTGGCAACATCAAGACACATAACATACTGAAAAGTCATGAATATCCACCTTATGATTCCAAGTTAAGGAGATCGCATACATGACTCTTTAAGTAGATCAATTGGAAAAGTCTAAGGTGTGCCGCATTAAGGGAGCGTCAATCAAGTGAAAACGATCCAACAGGCGATTGGTCATATCCACCGAGATTGCATGAAAACTTTATATATAGAAAACAAAGTGGACATCTTGAGTTTGTTTCTGATTCTCGCTCGCTCTCTCGGATGACGCGAAGGAGGGAATTGACGTCAATAACGGCCACGTCCTACTGGGCAATCGGCCGCAAATCCAATTTTAGCGTAAATAGGGCCGCATAATATCAAACCCCTAATCCCCGTCGCGCTCTAAAAATATTAATAGTGCCGCAGCGGCACTTCCGAATACTCTGCGAATGCTCGTTTGTTTGCTTGGTATGCAACTAAGCGTGCAAAAACTTGCATTGAGCTCGTTTGTCGCGACAGACTGCGAGGCTCCGTCATCGTTGAGCTCTTTCTAAACGATTTATGCGATTACTTAACATCACCTGCGCGTGATTGATCTTTTCATATTTGCGAATCTCAACTATATGTTAACAGGGTGTATATGTGTCTGTGCGTGCGTGTATTCACTGGATTTTATCGGTATAAATCTAACTGATAGCGATCCAATCGCAGACGCTGCTCGTGTAAGCGAAAGATTTCTTACTTTTCGTAATTGCGCTCTGATTAATTCGAGCAGGAAAAAAGCAAAGTAAGATTCACGTTCCAACGTCTCGCGTAGTAGTCAAATACTTTTTCGGGAGTTCGAATACTTAAGTTGGGAGTTATTAGATTTGATGTGATTATTTGAAGAATGCTTGTTTCTGTCCATCGTGACAATGTCGTTGTGACATGATCGACAGGTACAACACCTGATTCTAATTCACCCACTGAAAATTCTGATGTATCGTTCGACTAGTGCACCGAAACTTTCATGTCCGTTGTTGGGCTTGAAAATTCATTTTGATCAAACTGCATACGAAAAATAGCTTGTACAATAAAACGAAATATTCCTCGAAAATTTTCCGTCGAATAATTGCGAACGGCAAGTGTATACGTGATTGCTGTCAATAAAAAAAGCAATTCGCAAAACGGTTTATAAGGGTTGAATAGAGTAGTGCGCTGGCAGGTAATCACGACGCGTACTATATACATACGCGGTGTAATCGGAGCGTAGCGCACATGTGTGCACGAACGTGTGGTACCGAAAGCGCACTTTCTGCAGGGACTCACGTGAGTATACGGCCGAGACCAGATATTCCTATATGCCCGTCATGCGCGCCTTCATAACGAGTCCTCAAAAGAGCTCGTTTCATTCCCAACTTGCCAAAGACATAAACCACTACTCTCTCGCTCTCTCTCTCTCTCTCTCTCTCCCTCTCTTTCAATGAGAATTTACTTGCGAGCTCGTTACAATCAATTTTATTGGCACTTGAAAAGACCGTGTCGATTACAGATTTTTTATGCGATTAAAATATGTGACCCACTTATTGTGTCTCTTTTACGAGTACCGCTTTTTTTTTTGAGTGTTGATAATTTTGCACGTGGTTGCACGCTGAAAGAAAAAAGAAAACAACGGCGCCTAATTCACAACATTACGAAACGATGACGGTCCATGTAAAAAAAAAATGAAGATCAAAGAAATGACGAAACGACAAAGATTATTTTTCTCTCTGAAAGAACTCCACGAAACAGATAGAGAGAATACTATTTGCAATGCTAATCATCTGCAACTCGTGACTCAAGTCACATGTTCTGAAGTAGCTTTTTTATAACATCTTTTTTTCTCAACCACATACATTCTAATCTCTAATGCCTTACGCTTCAGATATAGATATAAAGAAGGATTATGTCGAAACGCCAATGATAAAGTTGACTGAACTCGATGCCGCAA